TGACTGTAAAGACATGTATTCTTGTTCATTTCTTGGTTGCCCACACCCAGCTTCATGCTTTAACAAAATTTTATGGTCTGCCATTGTTATAAATACCTTTGTCAAAGTAAGAACCTTTCCCTACCTCTGAAAGGTCTGTTGATTTTGTTGATATTTTTTAACTTTTTTTTTCAGTTTTCTTTTTTCTCTATTTTACTGCAGAGAATCTTACATACCTTTACCTGCTTAGTGTTCTTTTTTATCTAATTCGTGAGGCATAAAGGTTTTCTTTTCTGCATCTTAAAATTTTTCGTATGCTGTATAGTTGTGAGAGACACAAAGGAAAAGACAATCTGTGTGCTTGTGTACATGCAGTTAGAAACAAATTCCCATAAACTAGACAGACTTAACCACTTGAATTATACTTGGTCAATATTTGTCTTGGGATATCTCTTGCTTTTTTTTCTTCTTCACCACATTGGTTTTTCCAAATGTGATATATAATTTCCAATTGTTTGTGAACTTTCCAGTTTTTCTTCTACTTTTTTTACTTTCATTCAATTTTGGTTAGAAAACAATTGGTGAAAGAATTGGTATAAAGATATTGGTATAAAGATTGGTATAAATTTCACTATCACTGAAAGTAATTTATCTTGGAGAATGTTCCATGTGTATTTAGCTAACATACATGTGGCTTAGGTCTTTAGATGCCTTTTATTAACAAAAGTTTTTAATATAATTATAATTTATCAATACTTCATTTTCCAGTTAATGTGTTTTGTGCTTAATAAATTTTATGTCAAGTTATAAAGATATATTATTGTAGTATCTTTCCCATAAATCTTGTACATATCAGAATTAGCTTTATATTCCAATTGAATTTGTATGGCTTGGTGGTCAATTAGTATACAATTTCTGACATATTCATTCCATTTGATATATTTCCAGCTATGTTATAACAAGCTCCTATGGGAGTTCTATTTTTAGCTTTTGTTGAACTTTTATGTTGATTTGGATAGTGGCTGTACTCTTTTACACTCCTACCAACAAGTTTTCTTCCCTGACTGTCTTGATCTTCAACATTTGCTGTCTGCTTGATGATACCCATTTGGAGTGAATGAAATCCCAATTTTGTTTTGATTTGTATTGTTAGTAAACGTTTTCACCCATTCTGTGGGCTGTATCTACTTTGAGACAATTATTTCCTTTGATAGTAAGCTTTTTATTTTGTATTACTACCCTTTTCTTTGTGGTACAGGGGATTGAACACTGCTAGGTAAACTGTTGTGCTACACCCAAATCTTAGCAGCCTTTTTATTTATGCCAATCCATTGTGTTTTATTTCCCGAACTATTACAGTTCTATTCAGTTATTATCTCTGTAGCTGGAAATATTTTCCAACTAGTCCCTGGGTCACAGGGACTAGTTTTTGTCTTCTCTGTGTAGGCATTCAATATTCCATGACCATTTATTGAAGAAACTATCTTTTTGGCAACAAATGTTTTTGCCATCATTGTCAAAGACCAGATGGCTAAATGTATGTGGGTTCTTCCATTCCAATTTGCTGGCAGTCACTTACAAGCAAGACAACTTGCAATTTGTGTTCTCCTCCCAAGTTTTGTCTGGATTTGAATCCCATTCTCAACTCTCACTGCTGGTCCACATGGGTTCTCAGGGAGGTTATCTGCTTAGACAGTTTTAAAGGCTTTGGAAATAGAAAAATGCAGTCTTCTACTGTCCCTGGCTGAGGCATACGTCTTTAAGACCTCTCATGGGATGAATTCCTCCAGTGAATAAGTTGGGAAATACTTGGGTCTTCCTTTCCAGGATGTGTTTGCTATACCAAACACAAATTTCTCATTTACAAATTGTATTTTTCTAGAACCAGTTTTATGTACCCAGTTTGTATATATGTGAAGTCTCTGAAATGGTTTCCTTTTTCTTTTGTCTGAAGCAATAGAGTACCCCAAAAGGCATTTTATTCTCTACCATTTTGCTTAGCGCTGTTTGTTAGGAGTCCTTTTCTTTTATAAACCTGAAGTTCCATTATTTCTGTTTCTTATCTTCTTGCCTTTCCATTGCCACTAGCCTCTCCCTAAAGCCACACACATACCTGAGATTTCTTTTCAATTCGTGGAGACATGGAAACATGCTAAGTGTCTCTAATCCATTTGCTCTCTTACCACTTTCTCCTTTTAGTCTTGAACAATCAATTATGCAGTTATAAAACAACAACTCAATGATTTTCTCAATGTACTTTTATGTAGTGATAGTTCATCCTCCCGATCTTTAAAATTCATTACCTAATATAGTATCAGAAAGTATTAAGTTTAAAAAGTGTATCAAAGTGTCTAGCCAGGAAAACCAAAGATACCACTTTTACAAATTGACAGTATTGGCTATTCCAGAAAGAGGACTGGTGGGAAATGGAAAAATATAATTTCTTTTGCAATATTGACCATATTCAGATACCAATTCAGTTTACGAAGTTTTCAGAGAAAAACTGAAGAGATGTGATATTTGTTATGAGTAGTCTTTAGGGAATAATTGCATGTCAAGCGCAAAGGGAATGTATGGTTTTGCTATGATGCAATACTTGTTTAAATGGTGACATCTTATTCATACATATTCCAAAACAAATATATAATTCAGTGTTGCAAAATAAAATTATGTCTCAATTTATTATGGCATGCATTCTCCAAAGTTATGGACACTGTAGTAAATGTGTTGTCATTTGAGATAAATAACTGAGCATTAGATCTATAATTCTCAAATTAAGTTTTCCTGGTGTCCTCTAATTTTCTGTGAAATTTTACATTTTGGAAACTATTAACAATAAATGATGTCTATAGATTCAATGAATGAATTCATATCTTAAATGGCAAGAGTACAACTGTGAAGCCTCAGAGTGTTGATCATTTAATAAAAAGTATAGGAATTTTTCTTCTTGTTCTATTTTCTGTATGCAACCTGCCAATCCCATCTACATTTTCTGTTTCTCCTTTTGGTTGTTCTTATATATTTATTTTCCCTTAAGTTTAGCCTGTATGCCCAGTAAAAGACTAGATGCCTAAGACAGGAGTCTATATTTTTGAGTATAAATAATATAGTAATTTACTATCTACCATAATCCAGTCTTAGAATGTGCAAGAATCAACCCTCCTTTGACAATCTATCATTCTTCTTGTCCCTAAATCATTTTCATCTTTCTCCATATAAGCTTATTCCAATGTAATTTATTTTAGTGTTTGAAAACATTTTAAATTGATCACTCCACAAAAGGTAAAAATTTAAATTTCTAACATATATATTTTCATGATTTCTCACATATACGTATTTTCTTAAAATTGTTACCATCAAATTTCAAAGAACCTTAATCAAATAGTAAACAATTACAAATCACAATTATTACGAAGTATAAAAATCAAACCTTTATTAGAAGCACATTTCATAAAGAACTTGTTAAGCCATACATCCAGATCTTCCTCCCAATTACATCAGGTACCTAGAGATGAGTATTACTTATTATTGGGAAGACAAAGTTAACTCTTCTGTTTTGCATTCTTTTATGTTATTTGGGAGTGGAAAGCTTTCTGGTTATTTATAGTAATGGTTATTTTACAGTAATACCATTGTTGAACTTCTAAGCTAGACAAAATTTTTTTATGGGAGAGGGAAGGGATAATGGGAAAACAACAAAGGAGGGGTAACAATGATGGACAAGAAATGGACTCAAACACCTTACTCGTGTAACTGTAACCCCTCTGTACAGCATCTTTACAAAAAATAAAATTTAAAAAAATATTTTCAGTCATGCAACCTGTGACTCACTCCTCTAATACTAGCTACTCAGAAGGTTGATTGCTGTTCAAAGCCAGCCCTGACAGGAAAGTTTTGAGACTTTTTTCTACAATTAACTACTAACAAGACTGATATAAAGCTGTGGCTCAAGTGGCAGAGCACTGACCTTGAACAAAAAAGCTCAGGGTCAGTGCCCAGGCCTCACCTCAAGTTCATGCCCCCATAACTGGCACACAAAAATATTTTTAACGATTAGCTGACAACTCAATTTGATAGCTCTGAAATATTTCTCAAAACAAATGGAAATGACTGAGTTTGTAAAAGAATCAACTACTTGGCCATTAAGTTAATCCCTGTCTAAACACCAGTACCAGGATTTAGGTCAGATTTTAAAGCACTGCTTTACAGAGAGAGAAAGAGAAAATTACTGAGGAAAGTAGAAAGATGTGTAGAATAATTCCAAGCCATATGAAATTTATAGGCAAAACCTATTAAGTTGACTACCTGATAATTAACACTTAAATTCTCTTTAACTATTACCCCTGGAGAAAACTCTCCTAAATTATTACTCCGGGATAGCTTTCTTATAAATTAAGGTTTCCTGAAGTTTCGGGATATGTGTTGTCCATGGGAGAAAAGAAGAAAGATGTATGCCTAGGTATCAGAGTTTTTCATTTTTAGAAGCAATTCTGGTTTGGTGCCAGTCCTGGAGCTTTGAAGTCAGGGCTGTGTGCTATCCCTGGGTTTTTTGCTCAAAGCTCATGCTTTACTGGTTGAGTCACTGCTTCACTTGTTTTTTTTTTTACTGGTTAATTTAAAAGAAGAGACTCTGTGACTTTCCTGCTCGGGCTGGCTTTAAACTACAATCCTCAGACTTCAGCCTTCTGAAGTGTCTAGTATTAATTACAGTTATGAGCAACTGGCACCTTGTAGAAGCAAATTTTTTACTATGCTTGTTAATTTTGCAAATAAAATCATTCTCTTACACCAAATATCTGAATCTAGATATATGATATGTGGGGAGAAAAGAAGAATATTTTTTGTCATGATCCATCATTGAAGCTGATAGGGCAATGTAAAAACACAGGCGTTGGTGTAACAAGCTTCATACCTTAAACTACATCTCAGCAGAGGCTAATATATGGCATAGTACTCAGAAAGCAAAATAAAACAACAGAAAATACGATCCACACTGTGGAGTGATTTTAATCAAATTGAATCAATATGTAATTTAAATCTGAATTTCATTTTTAAATTTAAATTTATTTTTTCCTCAAAATTGTTTCTTCTTACAGCATACCTATATAAAATCTAAAACAAAAACAAGTATCTTCATTATTTTTACAAGCTGCCTAATTAAAAACAAGATTTGAAATAATGCTAAAAATACACAGTTGCCTAAAAATGGGAGAGGCAGTCTGAACCATAGGTAGAAATTGAGCCAGACCCTTATGTTTTTGTTCCGAAACTGCAGTCAATTCCAAATCTACTCCGGTGAAAATGATACCTACCTGTAGCCAATATTATATCCTGAATATCTGGATATTCATGAGACGGTAGATGTGGGTGGAAAATTTCAGAAGATGGTGGACTTCTTTCAATATATATCTCCTTATTATTAACCACAAACTAAGCAGGACATTTTTAAACAGTGCCTGGTGTCAAGAGAGCTCAAGCAACTCCCAAATGTTCATTCTGTAAAAAGTACATTTGTAAAAAGCAGTGAGTTATTTAAAATTTTTTCAGACTGAATTCACAGCCACAGAAAACATGATCGTGCAAAAACACACACAAAGAAAAACCTGGCCAGAGAAACAACGTTCAAGATAATACAAGTCATCATTCCTTATCTAGTTTAACAATGATTAGTAACTATTCACTTTTCCTACAAAATATCTTTTTTTGTACTAAGAGGACTTTTCCTCTGTAACAGTTTAAGTAAAACTTGAGCATGTAACTATGATTGAATTGTGTGGTAAGTTTTCTAAGAGTGTATTTTATTCGCTAAGGTTAAGATGCATGCTAGTGGGAAAGTGTGCCAGTCGTAGTTAGAGGCGAAAGAAGAACTAGTTGAGTCTACTTTGTTAGAACCTAGCCGTAGTACAATGCCCCCAAATGAAAAACTAGCCTGTTTTTGACTAAACTTAAGTTTATACAGTCTGGTTCGGCAGATGCCTTTGTGAATAGTAGTGACAAAATCCAGGTGTGTGTCTTTTCAAACAAAAGCAGACCCTCTGTAGGAGACCTTGGAATACTGCTGTGCCAGGATGACAGGAAAGGTAAAGCCGACTCGTTGTGCCGCTTCCACAGCTGGCGCCTTTTAAAAAGACGGATTCGCTTCACAGGTTAATGTCTATATGCTTTTAAGTGAAGCCGACATCGGACCTAATGTTATGTATAACAACTCTGGACTTCTCAAAGGATGAGCGCACCTGCTTCAGAAACCTCCTAGTCAAAAGGCTGGAACGACTGGCTAACACACGGAAAATCCAGGAAAACGCCCAGGGAAGGACCGTCCGATATGACGCGTGCCAGACGCGAGCAACTCGCTGACGCACGGGCCCGACGTACGGGCCCGACGCACGCGCGCGTCGCGGGCCTCCCCGAGCCGCCGCCAGGCCTGGAGGGCTCCACCTCGCACGACAGCCCGGCCGGCCACCGCCCCGCCGGGAGGGGCCAGGGCCTTCCTGGGGGCGACCCCGAGGTGGCAGAGCTCACCACACGTGACCCCTAAGGCCGTCACCTGACGCGGGAGTCACCTCACCCCCCCGCCCCGGGAAGCCGCGGGCCCCGCCGGCGGACCGCTAGGCCGCCCGACGAGAGGCGCGCCAGCGGGCAGCGCGCCCGGAGAAGAGGCCACAGGGGTCCCGGTGGCTCCCCCGGACACGCACCCGGAGTGTAGCCCGTGGGTACCCCCAAAGAGCCGCGCGCGCAGGAGGTGCGGTAACGGTCGCGCTAGAGGGCGCGCCTGAAGGCGGACCTCAGCCCCGAGGCCCTGGAGAACGCTTACCCGGCTCCACGCCGCCCCCGCGAGTCCTCCTCCCGCCGCGGAGGCTGACGGGACCCATAGTATGAGCCGCCCTGCCGCGGAGGCTGTCGGGACACGTAGTCTGACCCGCCCTGTCGCGGAGGCTGACGGGACATGTAGTTACCCTCCGCCACCCAGTCTCTCTCTCCTTCAGCCCGGCTTCGGAGCGCCCCCGCGATTCCCTCAGGCCTGACTTCCGGTTCCCTCGCGCAGCCCTGACCTCCGTCCCGCCGTGATTTTCCAGCCGGGAGGCGCTCCTCCACCCTTCCGGTCCCCGCCCGGCATCGACCCCGTGGGGCGGCGCGCGGTTGGTCCGGCTCCGGGCGGCCGGCGCCGGCGGGCCTGGATCTCGCGCGCGTCCGCTGGGCAGCGGGCCCGGTCCCGCGGCAGCCCCGCTCCTCCAGACCGGCTCTCCCGTCCTTGTGTTAACCTCTGCCCGCGGGCAGGGCCACGCCCCGGTCGTCGCAGCCACCGACATGGGAATCCCTCCGCGGCGCACCCGGAGCGGCCACCTTCGCGGGGGAAGCAGCGGGGTCGTCCGGGAAACCGGAAGCCCGTGGTGACCTCCGGCGACCCGGCTGGTTTTCGGTCCGTTTTCTAAGTACTGGGGAAGTCGGAACCCCGCGGCCTCGGGGGCGGCTCCGCGGAGCCGGGGCCCAGGGTGAGTACGTCTCTCCGGCCGGTGGGGGCCGGGGCCGGTCCGGACGCCCTCCTGCTCTCCGCCCCGAGCGGCCCCTTCGGGTGTCCCGTTCCTGGGTTATCTCCACGCCCCACCTGTTACCAGTCCTGCGGGGCCCTTTCCTCTCCCTTTAGCTTTCCTCTCTGCCGTCTTGATTTCCTGAGCGCCATTAGATTCCCTTCTTTCACTGAAGAGACACGTTGGACAGAAGAGGGACATAGCACTAGGCCAGTACTGTCTGGGGTGCTGTGATCTCAGTCCCCTGTATTCGTCAACGAGTGTCAGTATGTAGTGGCTGTCCGCCGTCTAAACAGTGCTTTCCAATCCTCTATTTGCGGTTTTCTTTGCTTTCTTTCTTTTTTTTTTTCTTCTTTCAAGGAAGGGTAACACCTTTATCCCCTACACACCAGGAACTCGAATACTGGAAGTGATATCATATACCCATAAAAAACCTAAGTTGCCCCAGCCGAGTTGGGAGTACCCTGAGGTATTCAAATACATTGACCCTTGATCCTTAAACTTAAGGAGCAGCGAGAGAGAGAGAGAGAGAGAGAGAGTGGGAGGGAGGGGGAAGGGGGAGAGAGAACACTCTAGTCCATGTACATGTGTTTACCGGGCTCAGGGCTTCTAGATCTTGGGAGCTGTACCTGAGCTTCCCCCCATCCCCAAGGCTAGTGCTCTACTATTTGAGCTCTACTGTTTCCCTTCCAGCTTTTTTTTTTTTTTTTTGCTGGTTAACTGGAGGTATGAGGCTCCTGGACTTTCTTTCCTACGCTGGCTTCAAACCTCCTGCAATGCTCATATCTCAGCCTCTCGAGGTATGAGCCAGTAGCACCCAGCAGGAGACACTTTTTACTGCTAGAATTTTAAGTTGGATTGAGCAATGTCTGAAGGTATTAATTCCAGTCCATTTCTTTCAAGACACTGTAATTGCCATCTTTCTTACATTGGAAAGGTATATCAGTCACAGATAGTTACAGAATTGTAATGAAATATTACTGGTGATTAAAGTTTTATGCAAATGAAAGGCTTCACGGTGTTACTAAAAGAAACATTATATTAGTGGGAAATAGCACTGGATTGGATCTGAGCACTAGGGCCTCACATTTTGTAAGAGAGACAAATCGTCTCTCTCTAAAATAAGGATACTTACTTTCCAAGGAACCTAAGCATAATTCCTAGGAACCGCAATAGATCTCAGGTCTGATATCCATCTACATGTCTCAGTTATCCCATCTATAAATTAGGAAGGTTCTTGCCCACCTCAGAGGTTTTACACAGATGGATTTTTTCTGAAGAGCAAATGAAGTAGTTCCCTAAAAAAGTGAAGCATATTGCCTAAAATATCTGATTAACATTAAAAACACAGAACGCTGTCAAGATTATTAGTAAAAACAATGTGTTGAAGTATTTTTAATAGTCATAAAATAATAGAATCAATCTAACTAGAATCAAAATATAGTTCTTAGGGTTAGAAAATAATAATTTGATAACACTAGCAGCATTTAATGTATAACAGGTACTCAGTTGCACAAAGATTATTAGTTTAAGAACTGAATGAAAAGTATGCTACTACCCACACTCTATCACTGAGAGTCTTAATGCTTTAATGCGTTCCTGCCACAAAAATGCATTTCTGCACTAAGGCTAATGATTTGAGATAATAAAAATTAGAGTGGTGTTTTTCATATTGCATGTTTGAGTACATTTTTGCTATGATAATAGGCAAAATTACTTTTGAGCCTCAGTTTTGTTAGCTGTAGTAATTTTCTTGCCAACTTTTAGTAGATGAGGTAATGTGTATATTTTAATTTGTCACTCTGTTTCTGATACAATTGAGAAATCCCTCCTGTTGTTCAGGATGACAATCTGTATTGGGATTAAATTTTTCCTTCACCACATTTGAATGATGTAGCTCAACTCTGTCATTTAAAGGTTGGGAATTTATGTCCATAGAAGTGAAGTGAACTAATCTCAAATGAATGTTAAAGATGCTAGACTACAATCTGGGTTTCTGAATCCCCGACCAGTGCTACCATAGAGTTAATGCTGCCTTGCCCTGATAGTTAGGAAAATCACAATTCATTTTGTGTTACCTTTCAGAACATTATATTAGGAAGATAGATTTAGAAGACAGCATATTTGAAGTCACATCACAACATTGTCACTGTTTTGTTGGGTAGCTGTAGGTAAGATATTCATCTTTTTAAAAGAATTTGTAAATTAGGGTAGTACTACTTACCTAAGAAGTAGGAAAATGCACGCAAAAACATAAGTGGTTGGTATTTGTCAAATGATCAATAAATGGCAAATATAATGATGTTGAGAAAGATAAGATATTCCTAGAAAAAAGACCAATCTGGTATCAAAAGATACCTACATATTTTCTAGTGCCCCCCCCCAAGAATATATAACATGAAGATCTGAGCCTCCTTAGTGTTGGTCACAATGAAGACTCAAACTTATGACGGTTTAAAATATTTTGAGTTAATAATATTTAAACTTGTTTACCCATATGTGTCTCTTTAGCTTTGGGTATTAATGTTGTCTTTTCTCACCAACTTATTTAACAAATTATGTTCTTGTTTGTGATGTTAAAAGAATTCTAGTTGCAGGTGGAATCCTGTAAATTATGTAGATACGGGACTTATGATTACTTTATGCACCTTGATATTCTGACTTATTTAGATCTTCATTGGAGCTAAGTAACCACATAATTTTTTTCTTTCATATTTTGTTTCAAACTGTGTGGATTAAATACAATTAAAATCCTGCACTTAATGTGCCCTAGGCAGTTTTGCTATCATTTGAGTCACTCCTCAAGTCCTTTGTTTGTAACTTGTTTTTGAGATAGGGCCTTTCATTAATTTTGCCCCAGCTGACCTCAGATTTGCAATTTCCTTCTGCCTCTGAATAACTGGAATTACGGGCTTGTGATTCTGAGGCAGTGGTCCACAGTTCACTTTGTCTAACAGTGAATTAGTTTGTCTCCAGCTTTTTGGAACATTCTTTAAAAAGCCAGATTTCTTTGTGTTTTTGTGGCACATTTCTTATTGAATTTCATGACAAATTCACTTGAGCTTGTCTTTGGGAAGTGTTTTGATAATTGTGACGTTGTTGTCCAGAAAATATATCTGTATGTGTGTGTGGCATGGCGGGGGCGGGGGGGGGGCGGTGTCTGGAGATCCAACCCAGGGCTTTATGTATTGCACATGTTAGGCAAATGCTGTACCACAGAGCCACAACCTCAGTGTTGTAATTTTCAGTCACTGTATTTTGGGGCACTCATTTTAAAGATTAACAGAAACAAATATTGGTTACCTTGAGAAAACTTAAATTACAGTAGAATGCCAAAATATTAGGTCTACCTTGATCTAGTTTGTTATGTATAGTAATAGCCAGTTGTTATACTTTTACACTTTATCCAGAAAATCAAGCATCTTAACTACTTGAATGTATATCTATGTAGAAACATTTTATTGTAACAAAAGTATATAAATGGATCTTTTGTTAAGAGGTAGACTACTGCTACTGTAGTTCCATTTGCTTCTCTGTAAAAATAAGGTTCAGAAAGGATAAAGGAAGCTTAAGTAATAAAACCATAGGCTATACATAGTCTACTTTACTATTTTGCTAAGTTGGTAGTATAGTAATACATAATAATGGGATATTTGCCTTGTATTATTGGCTACTTTCTAAGATCTTTCTTTACAGGGCCCAGAAACTACTAAGCTCAAGGGATTGGATTTGTAAACAGTAATGGTTCACATTCATATTAATTAGTTATCTAATATGGGACTATTTTACCTGCTGTTAAACTAGATTGCATTGTACCACTTCAGTAGCCATCTACTCTATTCTACTTTTAAGGCATTCTCTGCATAGATAAACCTCATATGCTGCCACTTGTTGATACTTTGAGTTTGCCTTATTGGAATAACCCATATCTTCTTTTTAGAAGGGAAATTATGATAGTTTCTTCTGGCAACAATATAAATGGAATGATCCTTACTGTTTTGCAGTAGAGGTGAACCCAGAGAAAGCAAAGTAAACTCCTGTAGAGCAAGAAATCTTAAAACTCTTCATTATTAGGAGACTGTGCAGCTTTTATCAAAAGGAGCATGAAAATCTGCCACTTTTTTTTAACACTGTAGCATAGGTCATTTTTGTTCTTGGGCTTTGTTGATAAACTGGGAAATACTCTAATTCATGGCTATGAGTTGTCTTAGTTGGTTCAAAACTTTTATCTACTTAACACTTAAAAATATACCTGCTTATTTTTGCCTGTCTTTTCTATAATATCACTTAGACACAAATCACTTCATCCAAACCCTATCTTAAGTTGAAAGCAATTAGAAGTTTTTAACTATAAAATGACAAAAGCAGCTGGGCACCAGTGGCTCATGCCTGAAATTGTAGCTACTCAGGAAGCTGAGATACAATAATTACAGTTCAAAGTCAGCCTATGCAGGAAAATCCGTAAGACTCTTATTTCCAATTAGTTTCTAAAAAGCCAGAAGTGGAGCTGTGGCTCAAGTGGTAGAGTACTAGCCTGAGCAAAAGAGCTTAGGGACAGCACCCAGGCCCTGAGTTTAAGCCCTAGGACCAGCACAAGAAAAAAAAAAATAGAAAAACAAAAATACAGTGAAAATAACCCATATAAATAAACATGCAAACAAAACATTTTTAGTATATTATCTGACATAAAGTAGAACAAAAGCCAGTAGTACACCAAGCTGAATTTTTTGAGGAAAGTAAGCATAGTGAAATATGCATTAAATTTCCTCTTTACATCTTACTGTCTACTTATTTTACTTTGGAAAACTTACTTAAATTCTTCTAACTCAATTCCTTTCCCTATAAAGTTCTCAAAAGAATGACTGATAATGAGTCATTAATTTTTATTTCAAGCAAGGAATAGTTTTCAATAATCATTAATTGCTAATCTAAGATACATGAAATTTTGTTGATGGCCTTTAGACTGTTATAATTAATGTTTTATTTTAAACTAAAAGAACATTGTACAGTATTTTTAGTTTCTCATATATGACCTTACTTTATTTTTTCATGAAGTTGTAAAAGGTTTCAGCTACTGTTCCTTCCATAGCATTTTTTTTTTTTCAGGAATTCTCAGGTCTAGCACTAATGCTGAATTTAATAACAAAAGCAGATGTAAAGTTTCCTTTTCATTAACTAATAAGGTAATTGATCTCAAAGGTTTTGTGGTCAGAATCTGGTTTGAATTCTTCTCTATCTATTCTTCATTTTCTAATCAGTATTAAGAATCTCATAGGTAGTGATAGGTTGGAGACAAAAAGATAAAACAGACACATCCTGTAGTTTCATGCAGCTTAAGGTTTAATAGTTTTAATTGAGCAAATTACCTTTCTATGGCCTACATATAATATGTAGGTGATTCTTACTATATTGAAGGACCATAACATATTATGCATAGTGAATCTTCAAACATTAATGTGTCCTTTATTGTGAGTACACAAACGTAAGCAATTATTAAGGGAACAATATAGTATACATTAAAACTTGCATAATATGCCAGAATTCTCCTAGACATGAGAATGCTAAGGTTGATGAAGGAAAATATGTGAGCATGAGATGTTCTTTTTGAGGAAAGGGTATTTCATGTGGAGCAGTTATGTATGTGTGGAGCAGGTATGTATGTGTATTCGTTTTCTGGTGACAGTGTGTGTGTGTTCTTGTCAAGTCCTCTATACTCTAATCACAATTTTTATAAAATTTTAAAGAGCTTTCTCATAGTAAATAATGTTTGTTGGAGGTATGGCTCAAATGACAGAGAGTACCAAGGCCTGAATTAAAGCTTCAGTACCAGCATGAAAAAATAAAGAATGGAAGAATGGATGGATGGATGGATGGACAGACAGCCTACTTTATAGCTATCAGTCATTTAAAGTTCTTAAGCTTCTATGAGGTAATGTTATTTCCTAAGTTTATAAATAAACTAAAATAGAGATTTTAAACAGCTTTCCCTGAGTTATATGGATAATAAATTGGAGAACTTGGATTAGAACCCAGATAGCTCTGTTCTTAACTATGCTGTGCTGTGTCTAAAAGAAAACAGGAATATTTAATCATTGTTCTGATATTCACATTTTTCAAAGTGTATTTTTTTCTTGTTCACTATTCGAGACATTCATATTTTATACTCTTTCTTTTAAATAGCTGTCATGGATGCAGTATTAGAAGATGATATATGCATTCTTAATCATGAAAAGGCTCATAGGAGAGAGACAGTGACTCCAGTCTCAATATATTCAGGAGATGAATCTGTTGCATCACATTTTGCCCTGGTCACTGCATATGAAGACATCAAAAAGCGACTTAAGGATTCAGAGAAAGAAAACTCTTTCTTAAAGAAAAGAATAAGGTTTTTAGAAGAAAAGGTAATTTTTCTTTGCTTTTACATTTTATGACAGAATAATTCAAAATATTTGAAACTTCAAATATTTTGTCCTCTCTTCCATGGTTTTACTAACTTTCCAAGGACAACTCACTATGAATCTCCTAACTGGACATTAAAGTTGTGATTTGCTAGATAAATATTTGTAGAGCTTTACAGCTTGGAAGGAGATATATTCCGATTATTTTCATTCTTTTTTATACTATGGTACCCTCATAGCTGTATGTATTTGACTCTAAAATTATGAATCTATAAACAAGTGACATAGTATCACAGGAGGACACTTCCAGATTAATGTTTAATAAGGTCTTCTTTACTTCCACATTCTTTTTTATTCTTTCACACCCATAATGGGAATAATGCTTTTAACTAGTAATGTCATTTACTTTTTCATGGAGAATGTTGACACTTCTAAGTGTTATGGAATAGATAAGCAATGTAGCTGTTTCCTTTTATTTATTGGACCCTGAGAGCTTGTTTGGAGGTGCTAGCAGGGGAGCGCAGCTACTCGTATACTCTTGACCGAAGACTGGTCCTCCTCTATCGGGGATGTCGTCCTCTTCGACCGAGTGCGCAGCTTCGGGAGGGACACACATGGAGTGGTGAGGGAGGAAGGGAACACCCACCTAGCCAGCCAGATCAGCCGAATCAACCCTGGCGATCAATGGGGTGACAGATGTCGCAGCCAGATCGCCCTCACATCCTTCTTTTATTTATTGGGAAGTCTTTCTTGATTACCCATTTACTTCTGAGTTTTAAATTTTAGTGTCTGTTTTTGGGTTTTTTTTTCCCAGATAAATTTACATTTGCTTCTTAGAAATGACAGCTTCCACAGAGGGTAAAGGAAATGGTTATCAGCCAATAAATTCATTATTCTGTATTAAAAGACTTGACGATGTAAGTGGGTAGAGCTCAATTTGTGAAGGATAGGAGTAAAAATGGGTTAAAATGGTCAAAATTTATTTGTGTGAACTTTAATTATGATTAAGCAAATCTGTTATATACTGAATAAAAATGGAGAAGAAATTCGTTATATACTGGGTAAAGATAAAGAGAGAAGGTAACTTTTTGAAGCTCATTGTTTGCTTATTTTAAAATGTATAGAAACAGGATTTACCTTGTTACCAGTAGTTCTATACCAATTCTTGAGTAATACATGATTTAATGAACTAGCATGTCTGTTCCTTAAAAATGTTCAGCCTGAGCTGGGTGCTGGTGGCTCATGCCACCAGCATGAGGCTGAGATCTGAGGAATACATTTTAAAACCAGCCCAGGCAGGAAACTGTCAGATTCTAATCTCCAATTAACCACCAGAAAATTAGAAGTGGCTCTGTGGCTCAAGTGGTAAGAGTGCTCACCTTGAGCTGTAGAGCTCAGGGACAGTGCCCAGGCCCAGAGTTCAAGCCCTATGACCGGAAAAAAAAAAAAAAATTCATTCTGGCCAGGTACTGGTGGCTCATGCTTATAATCTTAACTACTTAAGGAGCTGAGATCTAGGGATCACAGTTCAAAGTCAGCCTGGATAGGAAAGTCCATGAGCTCCTTATCTCCACATAACCACCAAAAAGCTCAAAGTGCAGCTGTGGCTCAAGTGGTAGAGTGGTAGCCAGGCCCTGAGTTCAAACCCAACCAGCACAAAAAGAAAGAAAAAAGAGAAAGTTGAGCCTGATGTAACCAGATACTTTTTCTGATCATAGAAATCATATACTATAGGCTAGAAAATTTCCTAAGCATTTCAAACAAATGGTATACTCTGGTATGGTATACTGTGATATGGTAACAGTGATTTGTCAAATACTGATGAGACCATGTACGATACTGATTTTAAAAAAGTATAAGTATAGCAAACTTTAAAAGTCTTCTCTACATTCTTGCTTTGCTAATCAGTAAAGATTAATTGTCTGAAAATGAAATATTTAATTATAGGCTAAAGGGAGACTTTTTTCCTTGTGGAATACTTTCTTAAGTTGGTTTTTGTTTTATTTTCTAATTTCATATTTTAGCTTGTAGGAGCTAGACTAGATGAGGAAACAAGTTCTGTTGGACGAGAACAAGTAAACAAAGCCTATCATGCATATCGAGAAGTTTGTATTGATAGAGATAACTTGAAGAGCAAACTGGATAAAATGGTAAGTTGGTTTGAAAAAACTGACACCTGTATAGCATAATGGAGTTTTCTCTTTAAAAAGGTTTAAAATTAAGGAAATCATATTTACATTTATTAAACATTTAGTATCATACATATTCAAGGTTAAGTGCAATTATAGCCAGTATGTTTGCAATTTATTTCCATATCAAAAATATAATGATGTTTAGAAATTTAAATACATCTAACATCACTTATTTACCTTGCAAAATCATGACATAGTAGAAGTAGTAGGTGTGTTAAAAATAAAGCCAATGAATAAAAATGTCTTACGTTAGAAAAAAGAAAAAGATTAGTAAGAAATGGAATTCATTTTCATATCTTGTTTTTAAAGACTAGAATGAGGGTTTTGTTTTCAATATTCACCTGAAAATGAAGATATAACAGCAACTTACAGATTTTATTGAATGTAATTTGGCATTTTCCCTACTTAACTAGAATAAAGACAACTCTGAATCTTTGAAAATATTGAATGAACAACTACAATCTAAAGAAGTAGAACTCCTCCAGCTAAGAACAGAGGTGGAAACTCAGCAGGGTATGCCACTTACTTGTTATAAATTCTAACAATACATTTTTTCCATTGTGCATTATATCCACCATTAGTATACTACTTTAAGTCTAATTTTTTGTTAATTTTTCTGTTCTGCTTTCACACAGTATCAACTTCCTTTAGCCTTTCCTTGGCTCCAAATTATACCTTCCCTAGCAATAATGTGATGGGATTTATTCAGGGCTAGTTTGCAGTGACATATAGGAGTAAAATCCCATCCTTATGAAAACTTCTGCCCCACTGGTATGTTCTGGCTGGCTTACCTTTCTTGAACATTTGCTTAATTACGATAGTATCATGCAATAGTATCAGTTGTTCTTCCTCCTTTTCTTTCATAAATTCTTAAAAAGATGAAGATACGATGTTGATGTGAAAAAGATTTGGGGGTTCTAAATCATGTTCTGTTCTCGTAAATGTTCTCACCAGACAAAAGGATAGGCATCTAAGAAACCTTTTGATAGAAAATTACCATGAGATCACTTTCCATGATTGGTGGGGACTTTTTGTCAATGAAAATACAAAGTAATAAGTTAAAGATAAAGTAGTATCCAGGTATATTGAGTTTCCATAGTGGGTTGTTTATGAACAAAATTGTTTCAGCACACTTGTTAGGTCTATTCATCAAATTTTATACTGTAATGACACTGAGATGGAGTATTAACTATCTTAGTTTATTCACTTCATTATTTTTATAAAACTCAGTTGTAGTTACGTAAAATGGATTATTGGTCTGTCAGAATTTTTGTGTTTGTTGACAAAAATGGTATTTTTTAAGATTCCAGACAAATTTATACTTAAAAAAATCAGATAGGATAATTAATACATTCTAAAAGTTTGCAAGATATTCTTATTGGCAAGTCATTGAAAATACTGTTTCTTTTTTCAAAATTATTAATGGATACATGTTTTATATTCCTTTTTCTATTATCTACATTTTGCCAGCATTTTTAACCTTTCTAGAATTGAATCACTGTAGAAGGCAGATAATAATTTTGATGTCCATCCTTTTGTAGTGATGAGGAATTTAAATCCACCTTCATCAAACTGGGAGGTAGAAAAGTTAAGCTGTGACCTGAAGATACATGGTTTGGAACAAGAGCTGGAACTGATGAGGAGAGAATGTAACAGTCTCAAGCTAGAGCTACAGAAAACCAAACAAATGGTACTACAAAATTATTCAATTCAATTCTTTTGTTTCATATGTAGGATGTATAACTGAATCTTAAACCAGAGAGTTATCACCAATTATAACAACTCATAATGGAGATACTCTCCTTTCCTGACAAAAATAGTCATTTGGTCTTCTACTTTAATCATTTGTTCTACAATTTGACACTTTGTCCTGATACCAAAAGTATATAATTTTAAAAGACTTAATTTCTAAAAGGTTTATTAGGTTATTACTTCTAGCTACTCAAGTGGCTGAGATCTGAGGATCAAGGGTCAAAGCTAGCCCAGGCAGAAAAGTCCATGAGACAGTTATCTCCAATTAACCACTAATTAAAAGCCAGAAGTGGAGCTGTGGTTCAAGTAGTAGAGCTTCCTTGAGCAAAAATGCTCAAGGACAGTGCCCAGCCCCTGACTTCAAGCACTAGGACTAAGACACACACACACATATTCATACACACACAGAATGTTAGGTTATTACAATTGTTCTTTCAAGCTCCCTTTCCTTCAATTTTCCTCCCTACCTCCCTTTTTAATCCTATTAAGTTTAAAGAGTTTAAAGATTTTAAGTTTCTCATTTTATATAGCTTAATATTAGGGTTAACTAGATATTAAAGACAGATAATTTAGTAGCAGCTTTAAAAGCTGAGAATTTAAGAATTGCCCAGATCCCGAAGTCTGCCTAACTGCTGTAGGTTATCTTAAAGTCATTGTCTTAAAACATACAGTGTGTCTCAAGTCCTCACCTGGAGTCTGTTTACTAATACTTTACATTTGGTTCCTAATAAAGTTGGACATAGATTTGCAGGTATCATGGTAATGTGCTATGATAAAAAATAAAATGATACAGAAGCAAGGAAGTATGAGAGTACTGCACCAAATAGAGAATTTGAAATAGCTGTTCAAAGAAATTGAAAAGCTTAGTAATCTGTACAAATATAATTTCTGTGTACTTATGTATTTGTGTAAATAAGTATACACAGTTAAATAATCCTTAGCTCAACCATTTTGTACACCAGAGCATTCCACTATTCTACATTACTCTAGGATGTTGCCATGTAAAAGAGAAACAACTTCCCATACATTCTGACTGCCAACTAGGACTGTGCACCTGAAACCCAAGTGTCCTTAGCTTGTACTTCTCAGGGGAGACTACTTAATAATCTTATATACACAGCTTATTCTTAAAATTATGTATATGAAGTACATGAATCCATCTGTATTGGGAAATGAGAGCTTGCTACAGAGCCCCTGGGCGGGTTTGATAAATGGGAAATGCTTATAAAAGTGATTGTTAACTTGTGATAGAGCCAACAAGTTTTTATTTTCTTACTTGATATTAAAAGTTGATTTTCCTAGCTTTGAACTTGAGGGCAGACACACAGCACCATTCGTCCAAATGATTCCAGCATTTTATTCCATAAGCTCACTTGACATAGTCACTACTGGGCCTCTTTAAAAAATATGCTTGTAAAAATGTACACAGTGAGGCTCTAGATAATTTGTTGGTATGTACGTACTACTTGAAAAGAATTCATTTGACAGCTTTTACATACTGTTCATGTACATTTCAGTGTAGAGTAAGAAACAGTATCATGAAATCATGGACATTTAGCTCATAATTGTTTTGATTATTTAACTGTAACATTAGGAGCATCATTTAGCTTTTTAGAGAACTTGATTTCTGTGGACATTAAGTACTTCTTTTTCATGAAGGTTAAATTTGTGTGTGCAACGGAGTTTACCTAGTATTCTCACATAAGTGTAATATTACAAACAATAAAAACACTTTCTTTTTTTCCAATGTTTTATTGTGATTAAGTGATTACATAAATTTCACAGTATTGTGGGATAGTGATACTTAGTTAAACGTCACAAACACATTCTAACCTTCCTGAGGAAAATTGTCTTTATTGTGGTCTATAAAGTTTATGAGTTCTATGAGCTTTGAAAATACAGTTATTTCTTCCACATCCAGTGATATGTACATTTCTTTCCTTTTGCTTAGTGTCAGCTGTTCACTCATTCCCGCTCATTCCCTCCCTCCCATCGCTGCCATTGAGTTGCTTAGTTCATTTTGATCAATGAACATTGGAGCTGATGGGTCCCGCTGTTGTATGTTTTCCTCTGTTTCTGTGTCCTCCTAGTTTCCCTTTGAGCACAGTGCCACTTCCGGTTTTCTAGTGGTTTATTGGAGATAAGAATCTCACAGTTTCCTGCCCGGGCTGGGTTTGAACCCACGATCCTCAGATCTTAGCCTCCTGAGTAGCTAGGTTACAGGTGTGAGCTACTGGCGCCCTGCAGGAGGAATGAGTTTCTTGAGTTCCCTGTATATACTGGATATTAGGCCCTTGTCTGATATATTGCTGGTAAATATTTTTTTCCCAGTTAGTTGGTTGTCTTTCTGGTTTGGTTGCTATGTCTTTAACTGTGCAGAAACTTTATTTTAAGGTAGTCCCATATGTCAAGTCTCTCTCCAATTTTTTGTGAACCTGGAACTCTGTTCAGGAAGTTCCTGCCTGTGGCTATAAGTTCAAGTGTCTCTCCTATTCTGTCCTGCAGTAGTTTCAGAGATTTAGGTTTGATGTTAAGGTCTTTAATCCATTTTGAGTTGATGTTAGTGCATGGTGATAGGCTGGGTTCCACTTTTAGTTTTCGGCATGTGGCCGCCCAGTTTTCCCAGCACCAGTAATTGAATAGGCTATGCTTCTTCCACCGTATGTCTGGCTTCTTTGTCAAATATCAGATGACTGTAAGTGTGTGGTTTTATTTCTGGATCTTCTGTTCTATTCCATTGGTCTTCTTTTGATGGGTGAATTGAGCCCATTAATATCTTATGGTTATTATAGAGAGATGCATTGTGTTTCCTGTCAATTTCCGGCTTTCCTAAGTTTTTCTTCTTTCCTCCTGTGCTTACTAAGTCGGACTTCTAAGTGATAACTATCTGATGTGGATCCCTGTTCGTGATTGCTTTCTTCAGGTTCTGTTCCCCCTCTTAATATTCTTTGTAATGCTAGCTTATTGTTTATGACTCATTTAGTTTTTCTTTACTATTAAAAATTTTAGTTTCTCCATTGAATGTGAATGCTAGCTTTGCTGGGTATATCAGTCTGGGCTGGCAGTTATTGGTTCTCAAGACTTGGATCGTACTTTCCCAGGCCTTTTGGAGAGATCTGCAGTGGTTCTGATTTTTTCCCATTATAGTATAGCTCCTTCTTTGTTTTTGCTGCATACAAGATTGTTTCTTTATTATTCAGAGCTATCATTTTTACTATGATGTGCCTGGAAGTATTTCTCCTGGGATCCTGCTTGTTAGGTGTTCTATATGCTTCTGTTATGTAGGTGAGATGTTCTCTTTCAAGATGAGGGAAATTTTCATTGATAATCTTACTGAATAAGTGCTCTATTCCCTTGCTTTGATACTCTTCACCTTTGTTCACTCCAGTTTTATGAAGGTTAAATTTCTTGGCACTGTCCGCTAGCTCTTCGATTTTCCTTTGGCATAATTTAAGTGATTTTTCCATATCTGTGACTTTTTTTTTTACAGTTGCTGCATTTTGTCTTCCATATCTGATATTCTAATTTCCATTTGGTTCACTCTGTTAACTATGGCTTCCATTGTGGTTTGCATGGAGGAGATTGAGCCATTGATGGCTTCTGTGTTGGTTCTCAGAGTATTAATCTCATCTTTTAGTGAGGTGTGTACTGCATCTATTTTTGCATGCATTCCCTGTTTGAAATCCTGCATCTCTTTTGATATTGCATTTCTGTGTTCTTTAAATTTCTAATCCATTTCTTACTTTAATTCTAGAGTCATTGCCTCTAGCATCTCTTGGATGTAGTGTTTGTCTTCTATTCCTGCTTCGCTTCCATTGGGGCTCTCCCCACTGGGTGGCTGCTGGCTTTTGGAGGTAGCTTGGTATCCTGGGTGTTGATAAATCTTGTAATTTTCTGTTATTTTTGCATGGGTATTCGGGGATCCTGGAGACTAATCTGAAACTGACTCTTTTGGTCAATAGGTGGCTGTCTTTGCTTGGTTCTGGGTTGGTTCCTGGATCAATTGATGAAGCTCACTCTTGGCCCTTGGTTGGCTGAGAGAGTCTGTACCTGGTCTTGGTTCTGTTGGGAGAGAGGCTGACCTCCAGCTGCTAGTTTGACCCACATAGGGCAATCAGCTGTCTGCTGGAGATCACAGGCATTTCCCACCTTTAGTCAAGGACTGAGCAGCCTAGACTGCTCATATTCCTACAGGTGCTCTTGGAGACATTGGGTGTGCTGGATGTACTCTCCCAGGTGTTGGGAGTCTGCTGTGAGTTACTGACTTTAATCAGGTGCTGGTGGCCTGAGCTGTCCAATCCCCAGCCTGGGATATACAGGTCAGGTTCTCTGTTTGGGTTTGGGTTTCTGGTTCTCCCTCGCTGGACACACAGCCTTTTGCCATCATGGGCACAATTCCCAAGTGGTGTGGTTCCCTGCTTTCCCCCCTCTGCTGAGGCATGTGCTCAGTTTCTGACTTAATGGGATGGATGGGTTGTGCAGCTCAGACACCGATCCCCAGGCCTGGCCCTGGCTCCTGGCCCCCATCTGGGGCATGCCTATGGACGTGTGGTGCTGGGTATCCTGCTCAGGGTACACAGCCTCGGGTATGCAGTTTGGATTTCTTCTGCTGTTGGCTGCTGTGGCCCTAGCACACTGTTCCAGGCTTGGGCGTTTAAGCTCCCTTCCAGGGGTGATCTTGAGCTATTCTGTCTGGGTGCTCCACGAGCTGGTGGGGCCCTTGAACAGTTCCCAGTTTTTGTTAGACCTGTAGTCCAGGTGGGGGGGGGCGGGAGGGTCTGGGTCAAGCTCTGGGTGTTACCACCAGCACTGGTCTCCCTTGGGGGAGGGAGGTACACTGTCCCCTCTAGAGTACTTAACCTGGAGCTGGTTGGGAACTCTCCAGCCGTGCTGTGGCAGATCACTGTTTTTGTGCGATGTAGGTCGCTTGTTGCCACAGTACTCTCAGATGCTTGTGGGCTGGGCCAGGTAGTGACTGCTATAGGTCATTGTGTCTTTCCATCTCTGCCTCTGTTGATGCTGTCCAGGTTGGCGCTGTGGGCATTTTTTGCGCTGGCCACCAGCAGAAGGGAAAGGGAGGGGTATTCACAAGTTTCTGAGCTCCGAGGTTTTTGTCTCTGTTTGTGCTCTCTGGGTTAGCCCCGGCACCTTGGGAGTCTAATGCACTGGCTTTCTGCGAATGGACCCCTGTAATTCTAGGGTTCCCCCCTCAGCTGTGAGGCTGACTGGTTTTGGCAGGATGGGGCGGCCTTGATCTAGTGAGGGGTGAGGGAAAGGTCTCTGTGCAGGTTCCAAGCTCCAAGGTTTCTCTGTTTGCAATCAGCAGGTCCAGAACGGGCACCGGCACCAGCGTCTTGGGCATCTTCTGTGCTGGCATTCTGGAGAGAGCTGTGGTGTTTCCCTACTGTCCTGTTGCCATATTGGCCCCATCTTGCCCCCCCTGGCCTAAAAACACTTCTATTCGTGTTATGTGTTGCTGGTAGTTTTACTCTTTTCCACTAGGTGGTGCTAAGGAATTAGTTTGCTTTTAGTTTTAAATCTACCATTAGCAACCAGATCTTGGAAGCAGACAAAGCTTGCCTTTTTATCTCTTAATAGCACTTGCCTATAGTGATAAAATTAATTCTGAGCTGTGTGACACTGACTCAAGCTACTAGCACTAAGTCTTCTAGCTACTTAGAAAACGAGACATGGAGGATCAAGGTTTGAAGCCAGCCGGTGCAGAAGAGTATTCAAGAGTCTGTCTCAAATTCATGAGCAAAAATGCCAGAGTAGAGGCATGGTTCCAGTAGTAAAGTATTAGCCATGAGCAAAAAGCTGAATGAGAGCTCTAGGCCCTGAACTCAAGGCCCAGAAATAGCATTTCAAAAGAGTACTAAAGGAGGAATATTGAAAGGAAAAAAAAAAAAGCCTGATCTGGCCTTTTACAGCATTTATTCATGGTAGTGAAAGATTATGAAGTAAAAAATGTCAGTTAATATAAAGAAATGAAGCAAGTAAATAAAGAGTTGACATGATTTATCAAGGGTGTTAAAGGATATATACTTTTAAATTCAGTCTTGGAAGTTTTTCTGGTTAAAATGTTCTTGGATGTGGGAATCTGAGAGAAGCCAGATTATAATATTATAATCATTTAATAAGCTTGCTCATTTATATAACCATAGTTAGAATTGTTTGTTTCTTTGTTTTCTGTTGGTCGTGGGGCTTGAATTCTGGGCCTGGGCTCAAGGTAAGTGCTCTACTACTTAAGCCACAGTGTCAATTATGGTTTTCTGGTGGTTAATTGGAGAGAAGAGTCTCATGGACTTTCCTTGTCTGGCTTTGAACTGTGATCCTCAGATCTCAACCTCTTGAGTAGCTAGAATTATAGGCTTGAGTCACTGGCACCCAGCTGTCATAAATGATTTTTAAGATGCTACTTTCTGTGAAACATACTCTATAATATTTTCTATCTTAAATGGAATACTGGTGTCTTTTGTTTTTCAACATCAGTGAACTCAGTGTTTGGTGTTAGTGAGGTCAGTTTCAGAAGCAGTTCTACTAAAAGTCTTAATAATTTTATATATTTTCTTATATTCCAGCTTTTAGAACAGTTGAATCTAAGAATTAGAAACTGTAGAGCAAAGAAGTATAAGAAACACTGGATTAGTAGAGTTGGTACAGAAGGAATCTGAGGTCTCTAGCCCCTGTAGAGATCACACTGCGCTGTTAGGTATTCAAGGTTCTGAGGTCAGTAATATAAGAACCTACATAACCTGAACATTGTTTCCCATGAGTTTGCAGCCACGGGCCCTGTTTGTGAAACACATATTACACAAGAAAGCAGCTGCCTTAGGAACATCAAAAACTTGATTATTGGCCATGAGCAGTCTTTGACTATTAAATAATCCCTTTTGGTTATTGCTGATTTACATTAGATTTTCTGACAATATTTCATTAAAATTGAGTATGAAATTGATAGTTGTATACTAAATAATTATATATATTTACAGGATATAAATACAGAATATATTACAGAACATATAATTATATAGTTACAAAATATAAGTATATTCTGTAAAAGTTGAAATATCTGTGGTAATGTTACAATTTTTAAACTTTATTTTTAAAACAAATGCAGGATTCATCTCAGGAAGACAATCAGAATAGAGATTTCCAAAGACTAAGCATTTCAAGGTATGTACAGTCTTCAGTATTAAAATAATGCATGTTTTCTTCAACAGTACTCTTTCTGTACCTAGATTGCTATTATGATTTAACTTTTAAAGTATATACTATTTAGATGTTGATTATAATCTTTAGCATATTTATTTAAAAAATAAGCAACAGTTACATAATAGCACAATTAGGGGGCTGGGAAGGTAGCTCAGTGGTAGAGCGCTTGCCTTGCATGCCTGAGGCCCTGGGTTCGATTCCTCAGCACCATATAAACAAAAAGAAAAGAAAAGCCGGAAGTGGCTCTGTGGCTCAAGTAGTAGAGTGCTAGCCTTGAGCTGAAGAGCTGAGGGACAGCGCCCAGGCCCAGAGTTCAGGCCCCACAACCAGACCCCCCCCCCAAAAAAATAGCACAATTAGTAATAGAAAGGTACATATTGTATTCTCAAGTTTTCTGAACATTAATATTTTAAATTTTAAAGAATTAACCATGTGGAAGCTTTTTGTAATAAACTTTATTTTTATACATGGAGAATTACACAGTTCCAAATGTACTAATATCTTTTTGTCTTCAAGACAAACTTTGTAATCTTCTTTGTTGGCATAGCATGAATTTTAAGAAAACTTTTCCTTCTTAGCTGTCAGTGTTCATGTGTGAATTGCTTTAGATACCTATTTTTACCAAAAACTTGCTTGAGGGAAATGATCAATTAGGGAAAACAGTTTGAGGAACTGACAGCTATTCTTTAAATCAGGTTGAGCAAACACTTTCTATAAAATTCTAAACGCTTTAGTCTCTGTTGCAATCATTCAGCTTTGCTGCTTTAACAATTCAGTTGTGCCTTCAAAATACATTTAGTACAATGTCATGCAAATGTTTTCTTAAAGATAATCTTGGTTAAAATTACCTTTTCTCCTTTCAGCATAGGTTTCCCTATATTGAGTTTTACTTGTCATTTTTATAAGCCAATTCAAGTCAATTTTGCAAAGAATGAGGGACTTAAGACATTAGAATCAGTGGTTGAAATAAAGGGGCTGTATAGTGTATTAATTATGCCTGCTGTAGAATAGGAATGGGTTGCCATTGATTAGAGATTACCTGAAACTCTCTTGAAAAGTTGCTTGCCTAAAAAAAATAACTTGGAGCCCAGCACTGGTAGCTCATGCCTGTAATTTTAGCTACTGAAGCTGAGATCTGAGGATCACGGTTCAAAGCCAGGTTGGGCAGAAAAGTCCGTGATACTCTTTATCTCCACGTAACCACTAGAAAACTGGATGTGGCCCTGTGGCTCAAGCGGTAGAACACTTGCCCAAGCCCAGAGTTCAAGCCCCACAACCACCACCAACAAAAAAAATACCTTGCGAGGCATGACAGGATAGAGAACAGTTTCATAAAGAATTGATCTAAATTCAGTCTAAAAATTAGTTTGTGCTAAAACTATTCCATACAGTTTTGTATTGGGAAGAACTGTTCAAATAAAGCATCTTCTGCTGATGGTTACCACTTGGTGTGCATAAGTATACTTGTGAATTCCTACAGCTTGTTTTGCAGTGGGAACTGCAAAACTGATTAGGTTACTTCCTTAGCAGGTAGAAAACTTGTATCCAAATTTGTGTGCTACCTTTGGTAAATGTTATATGTATATTTTTATGTTAACTTCAGTCTTAATGATATTTTCCTCCACTCCATCATATACCTATTTCCTGTCCATATTTTATTACTCTTTATAAGTGACCTATCTTTTTTTGCTGTTTTTGTTTTTTTTGGTTGGTTTTGTTTTTGTTTTTTGTACTGGGTTTGAATTCAAGGCTTCACACCTCTACCACATGAGCCACTTTCCCAGCCCTTTTTAAATAAGGTATTTTCAGAGATAGTCTCCCTTCATGCCTGGGCTAGCCTGGACCTCAGTCTTCCTATTTGTGCTTTTCCCCATGTAGCTAGAATGGCAGGCACACACTTCTAAGTTCAACCATTGGTTGTGAGAGTCTCATAAACTTTTTGCTCCAGCTGGCCTCAAACTGATTCCCTAATCTTCACCTCCCAAGTAGCTACCAGTCTAGCTCTCACCATTTTTAAATGGAACAATTCAGATAATAAATTGTTTACTGCATTAGGAAAAAGTACATGGCAATAGTTTCAGAAAACCACAAGCTAAAGGTGTAGGTATTTTTAAGAATTATTTGGAAAGTTCCCTTAAAAAAAATTTCCTCTACCATATTGCCAGGCAAACAAGGTAGTACTAAATAGTTTCTTTAACATCTTCCTTTCTTTCTTCCTCCCCGCCCCCCAGGAGATTTTAACTCAGGGCTATCCCTGGGTGCTATTTTAACTGGGTGCTATCCCTGAGCTCTTTTGCTCAAGGCTAGCTCTCTTACTACTTTGAGGCTCAGCTACATTCCCGGTTTTTGAGAGCTAACCTTGAAAAGTTCCAGTGAGACTCTAAGCTCCATTAAACCACCAGAAAACCGTAAGCAGGACTTTTCTGCCTAGGCTGGCTTCAAAATGTGATCCTCGGATCTCAGCCTCCTGAGTAGCTAGGATTACAGATGTGAACTAGATCATTACTTTTAATTAGTGGATAAATTATATGATAGTCTGTGTTATATAAAAAAAAGAAAGAAAACAGTGAAAAATAATAAGCCCAATCAGAAATGTTAGTCATTGTTCTGCTTTTTTTGGTAATGGCTTTAGGTTGATCAGTTAAGTTTTTAAAACAGATCTAGGTATGGAATTGTATTTCTTTTGCTTATTATTTAAATTTATGTTGTGGGACTATACTTTAAATGATATCTTAAAATATAAGTCCCTAGTTAATACTATGTAGATTAGCTTAGTGTTTTTGGCTTCTTTGTATTAATTTTAGTGATAGAGAAATTTTCTAAGTTGAATAGACATTTAAAAAATACAGAATAAAGCAAATCTCTAGACGCACACCTATAATCCTAGCTACTGAGGAGGCTGAGATGTGAGGATTGCAGGTTGAAGTCAACCCAGGCAGGAAAGTCCATGAGATTCTCATCTCTAATTAACTACCACAAAGCCAGAACTTAGCTCACGTGGTAGAATGCTAGCCTTGAGGAAAAAAGTTCAGGGACAGTGCCCAAGCCCTGAGGTTCAAACCCCAGGACCAGCACACACACACAAATAAGTGTGGAATAAAACAGAATAGAATATATCAGAATATATAACATATACTAGAGAATATATTACACATAGTAGGGCCAAGTATGGTGTATTTGTAACTTTTTTATTTTTAGTTGAAATGTAAAATGCTCATTACTTAATATATAGTCAGAAATATTTGAAAGACACTTATTTAGGGGAATCACAGTTGTCAAAAAACGACATTTTTATAGCTCTTATCTAATATACTATATCTTTATTTCGTTTGATGGACTGTAATGCTTTTCAAAAAGTGAAGAGAATTCTGAACAGCTAAAGTAAAAACTCAAGTATTTTTTCTTTATACAAGGAACATTCATTGGAGTTGAAGCCAGGTGCCTGTGTCTCATGCCTGTAATCCTAGCTACTCAGGAGGTTGAGATCTGAGGATTGCAGTTCAAAGCCAACCCAGGCAGGAAAGTCCGTGAGACTCTTCTCTCCAATTAACCACCAGAAAACCAGAAGTAGTGCTGTGGCTCAAGTGGTAGAGCGCTAGCCTTGAGCTGAAGAGCTCAAGGACAGTGCCCAGGCCCAGATTTCAAGTATCATGACCAGGGGAAAAAAAAAGAGTTGAATATGTATTATCATTTAAGAACTGGACAGTTTTATTCTATAACCTATAGATTACAGAAATACATAATTATATAATCTATAGATTTATCATGTATTATCTAATATAATGTATTTCATGTATTACATATTTTTATATAATTCCATAATTATAGTTCCTATCGTCAGGACAAGTAACCCTTATTTGAAATGCAGAGAAGCAAGTCTTCATAATATTTAAGTTAGAGGTAGGAAATTTTATAATGGAGGGCTGAAAAGCTTGTGTGTTGACAGTCTACATAATTATAGGTGTTTGTAAGTGGACAATGACAAGAAGAAGAAAACTCCGAAAAGGGGAGTGATCAGTGATTACACAGGACAGATAAAAGCTACCTTTAAAAAACAACCTTGTAGCTGGGCACTGGTGGCTCATTCCTGTAAACCTATCTACTCAGGAGGCTGAGATCTGAGGATAGCAGTTCAAAGCCAGCCCGGGCATATAAAATGAGTTTATCTACTTCAAGTTGGTATGAGAATGTGGATGAAGTGCCTAGCACATAACGAATACTCAACTATGATTACGGTTTCTAAGTTTCAATATTCTAGTATTTATGTAAATATATTAATAGGATTTTGCTCGTGTTCTTCAAGCAGTAGTTGAAGTCCACAGTCCTAGTTGGTAAATTAGCATGAAGTGACATATAGTCTATTCATTCAGTCTCAAAAATACTTGGATAAAACACTCAGTAACTAAGTAACAGGGTTTTGGTGAACCTCACTAAAAATTTTATAACAACTTTTCAAATCTCAATTAATGGTACCAATATTTTGCTCAGGAATATTGAATTTAAAATATTTTTTACACGCTTGAAATAGCATATAGCAGGTAGCACTAACTACAGTTAATTTTATTATCCACAAGAGGGAGAACTTACACTGTGTAATAATTGTTAGCTTTTTTTTTTTTTATGTAGTTCAATTCAGGTGACATTAGGGCAGAAGACAGATTTTGTGTCAGTCTCAGTGACCTAGTTTTCATCTTAATTTTTTAAGCAGTTATCATTAAATTTGATTGAAAATGTATTTTCAATTACTGTTTTTAAGCACTTTTATGATTGTTTCTCTTTTATTTTACATGCTTAGCTGTTTTAAATGACTAGTCTTGGCATTTCATTCTCCAGACACAATCATGGGTATTTTATTTTCTCCAATACAGGTACTGATTTACCATCTTAAAATTGCCAATACTAAACTATTTTCAAGTTGCATTATTTGTATGATACACAAATCATGTCTAGGAATTAGCACATGTTCAGAATTTATACGTACTTAAGTTATTCCTTGGAAGCATGCCTAGATTTGTACCAAGGAATCAGCAATATTCTTTACATTGAAACAAATGTGTGAAATATTCATTTAACAATCATCTGAGATATTTACTTAAAATAGTGGTGATTTGTGAACTTCGGTGAAGTAACTATTTCACACTTGTCAAAACTCCTGCAAAAGCCCTATATTTTCTAATATACAAAAGGTTAACTGATGACATTTGTGATAGACTTACACAAGCAGATTTTTCTCTAAAGCGCTATAAAGTTTATTGTGCTACTACATTAAAGAATTACAAGCTGAGGAGTATTTTGACCTTACATAATTCAAAATATTTGTTTTCAAATACATCTGTTTCTTCTATAACGAATAGATTAGATTTAGACTGGGAAGAGTTATCCCCTTCAAGTTTGAAGTTTTTGTTTATAGCTGGATAAAAATTGAAGGGCCAAATGACCACAGACAAGGCCATACTAAAGCTAGCAGCACAACTATGTTCATTGCAGCATCATTTACCATAGCTAAGATATGGAATCAACCCTGATGCCCCGTAATAGATGAATGGATCAAGAAAATGTGGCATATATACACAGTGGGATTCTATGTGTTCATCAGAAAAAATGACATCACTCCATTCATAATAAAATGGAAAAACTTCAAAAAAAATCATATTAAGTGAAGTGTGCCAGACCCAAAGAAACATAAGAAATATAGGCTCTATTCTTAGCAGAGGATCACAATGGATCAAAAGTGATGTGGATATGATCATATAAAATGATGCTTATAGAAATGCCAAGAAAAGTAAGCAAGAAGTTTTTCTTATTGTACTGTTTGCATTTCTTTCTCCACTACCACCCCCCCCCCTTTTTGGTTTATTCCCCATTACCACTGCTTTTGATTTCTGTACCTTTTGTCTTGTATATGTTTATCTGATTTGAGAACGAAAAGGGAATCACAAACACTGAGACAAATGGTGAACCAGTGCAACAGTGATACTCACTAGATATAATGTTGGAACTGAACTTTACAACTTGGGAGAGAGGAGTGGAGAGAGAGAAAAGGAGAGAGAGGGTAACACTGTTCGAAAAGAAATGTACTCATTACCTTACTTATGTAACTGGAACCCCTCTGTACATTACCTTTGCAATAAATTTTTAAAAAATTGAAGGACTGGGAACATGGCTCAAGTGTATGGTACTGCCTTTAACCTAGCATGCTCAAGGCCCTGGGTTCCATCTCCAGGATGGAAAAGAAAAAGTTTGCAGCATGAGGTGACATGTTTGCTTACTTTGCAAATTCTGATGGCAATAATGGTTGTTCAGTACTATATGATCAGTTATTTTGTTTAATATTTGTGCAAAGCAATTTGAGAATATGTGCTTAAGATTCATTTAGTTGGAAATTAAGAACATAAGAAAACCATGAATATAAGAATGCTTTTGGAAAATAAAACCCTTTAAAGTGTAGAAATAACTTATAATTCCTTAGTGAAGTAAAATGCTTTTAAAAAAACTGAGAGGCATATCTTCGAAGTTTTCATTTCTGTTTCATATAATCCTCCTGCTGTAGTTTCTTTTTCCTTATGAGGAAATCATTGGGCTCTCCATGTCTTGTGCTGTCTGTCATATCACATTGTTTAGAACCAACAATATGAGACAACCCAGTCAAACATAAAGAACGTAATATATGAAATCTAAATTTTATTTTAATGTAGACTTGGTGTATATATTCAGCAACTGATACATCATTTCAGTTCACAATATCAAATAATCAAAAAGATAAACAGAAAAATTTAAATCCACATATGAATGAATATAATTTTATTCTTGATCAGATTTGCAAAGAAAGAACATATTCCTTTCTGCTTAATAATTATATTGACACCACTGTACCATTACAGACTTTAGTCTTGGTTCTGAGGAAAGAAACTAAGAAACTAAACAGTAATAAGATATTCATTATAACCTATTTAATGTAGTTAATTGCTTAAAATCAGGACAACATTCTTAGGTCTTTTCACTTAACATCCTAATTAAGTAGCTTTCAGTTGTTTAATTTACATCATCATGAAACTAATTGCAACAAAAATATAAATCTGCTTATTTCTATTTTAAACTTTCTCCAGCTTAAAAGGATGAGCATTAACTTTTTAAAAACAAAAACGTTCTATTTTAGTGATAATATGCAACATACGTACTGGGAATTGAAGAAAGAAATGTCTAATTTACATCTGGTGACTCAAGTACAAGCTGAGATACTAAGAAAACTGAGAACCCCAACTGGAATCAAAAAAGGCAAGTCAAACTGTTGACAGAGCAACTACCTACCTTATCAAAATCTCATCAAATGAGTTTTCATTAGTGGAAGTGTGTATATAGTATGCCTTCCCATTCTCTGCTCTAGCTTCAGTCTCATGCTGGTCAACTTCACACATAAAGGTGTTGCTGATGTGTTTTTTCTTCAATACTGTATTCTTTTCCCCTTGTGGCTTTTCTCAGCCAAGTGTTGCTTATGTGTGTAAAACTGAGGTGTTAAGTTTGTTCTAGTTGACCTTTTACCACAACTGTTTTGTATATTTCTAAAAAGAAATGCCAAAAGCATTGTTTTATTTCAGTGCTATAGAATATACCCAAGACCTAGCTTTTCAAGTTGTTTCCAAAACAACAACTTTGATTCATTTAGTCCTTTGAATTTTTGTAAACTTTTTTCATAAAAAGATAGCTGATTTAGAAGATAGGCAAGCTGCAATCCCCTTCTTACAACCAAACAAAAATTTTCAGTGCCTTGACTTTATATTTTACTGCTTGACTGACTAAACTTTTTGTATTTTGTGTTTTTTTTAGTGGCTACTTGGCAAAACTATTTTTGGAGAATAATTAGGGCATTTGTATTTAGTATTACATAATAGGTTTATTTCTAAAATCTGTATACCATAAGTTTGAATGTCCTACCATTTACTGAAGAATTAAATAAAATGAAATGACTTAAAAATAAAAATAATTGTTACTAGCACTTCATATCATTCTAAAGAGAGCACCAGAGAATCGTTTTATAAATAGCCCTTCTCAGGAATATTTACAGAAACTTGCACATTAGGCAGGAAATTTGAATTCAGAATTCCTTTCAGTTTCTGGAAAGTTGGTTATGTCTGAGTCAGGCAAAGGAACATTGTATTTAGCAAGCCATAGCTTAACTTACAGTGCACTTTGTCCTTGAGTTTTCCTGAGGTCATAGTGAAAGGGAAATAAAATTGTGTGTGTGTGTGTGTGTTAGAGATGAAGGGATAGCTAAGCTATTTTGGAATAAAAGGAAAAGAAAAGTTCTTTAAATAAACAAGTGGTTCACCTTATGTTCCTTTTTAGTTGGTTAATACATCTTAGGATGCTTTGGATGATAAATCTAACAGAACATTTCCTTTGATAGTGGCAAGTACAAATTTACTTCTTACTAGGACTCCTTGTTTTGAATATCACTGTTTTCCCTGACCTATAAATTACTTTTGTCCAGACCAGAGGCTAAACATTATTATATCCAGTTCTCCCCACTCTTATGGACTCTCCCAAGGAAACAAGCAAACAAAATAAAATCACTCTATTTTATAGTTCTACTTCCTTTCTTCTAAAATTCTACAATCAAGCCTTACTTATATTTAGTCATCCTTGGACTAACAATAAAATTTCCCTTTCTTTCATGGTAGGTTGAGTGAGAAGTGCAAAGGAGACACACCCATATTACCAGAGTGCTGGCTGCAGCTAAAGGAACAGCAGCTTTACAGCAGGCAGTCTTTATTCTAAGCCACTGGTGAAGCACTTTATGATAAACACTTTACCACTTTTTGTTTGACCTATATTGTGACCACAACAGAATTTACATTTGCTTCTAGGTATTTTATAAGAAACAAAATTTACAACTTATACTTAAGCTCTTACCCATAAAAGCCTTTGAATGTTGACTCAAACATAATTGTTTCTGAAAAGCTTTACTTTTAAAGAACCTCTTGTAGATGGTTTGAATTTTAAAAAATAGTATTTTTAATGAAAATATGCTAAAATCTTAACTTTCTCTGTCCCCATTCACATATAAGTGATCTGTAAGCTTCCATAAGCCACCTATATAATGTAGGGCCAAGAACAAGATCTGGTAGTTTATTGACTTGTAGCTTTTTAAAATATGTGATTCTTTATCTTTTAACAGTTTTATGACATAGAATAGGCTAACACTCTGAGAGACTGAGCTTAATTCAGTGTTAGTAAATAGCTGACATAGAACTCAGATCATCCATTACTTGTCATAAGCCGCAGTGCCCCATTGAACATACTGATTTGGAAAGGTTAATTATCAGTTCCAGAGTTCAAATCAGTGGAATGCTGTCATATTTTATGATCAGTGCTATGAAAACTGACATTAGCCTCTCTTTTCTTTCTGTGGTTTAGCTTGTGCTCCAGTAGGATGTGCTGAAGACCTTGGGAAAGACAGCACTAAATTATTCATGACGAATTTCACTGCAACATACAAAAGGCATCCCCCTCTCTCACCAAATGGCAAATCTATTGTATCATCCCCTTCACCAGGAGATATAAAAGTCTTATCAGAGAAAGCATTTCTCCAATCATGGACAGATAATGAGAGATCCATTCCTAATGATGGCACAGAATTTCAGGAGCACAACTCTTACGGCAGAAATTCTCTAGAAGATAATTCTTGGGTTTTTCCAAGCCCACCTAAATCAAGTGAGACAACATTTGGGGACACAAAAAATAAAACTTTGCTTCTACCCAACCTTCCACCATTGCATTACCTGGATAAACATAACCAAAACTGCCTTTATAAGAATTAATGCTGAAGAGATTCATAATTTGATCACAAAACCTCTTCCAGTGGTTCTTTTAAAGAGATTATTTAACAAAATGGATTTTGACTTAAATTTTGCAGAGTTCTTCAATATGTATATTTGGACATACTGTATAATATGTAGCTGATTTTCCTTTATGATAGAGCACCCTCTAGCTCCGTGTTCAAAAAATCAAAGTATGATATTGCATAAACTAATAAACCTGAGGTGTTTCAAAGACACTTCTGCCTTTAATAACAATTCTGAAATTTTGCTTCTCAGATAAAAATGGGAAATACAAATTTCTAGACAGTTTTATGAAGTATGTGAAATACTAAATACTAAAATAAAATGAAGCCTTTTAGAAGAAAAACTGCATGCTGGATGAAAACACATAAAGAAGCAGATGGTACTGTGAATAGGTTCTATTTCTGTTGTTGATAATACATAAAGAAGTATAGTGGATAAAATAGGAAATTCTATCCGCTACTGTTTCAAATCATTTTTATTCACAAAGCAGATAAAAGTTTTAGAATTACAATTTGTACTCATAAAATTTGAAATAACCATTGAAGCCAACTTTGTCCCAGTTCATTCAAGTCCTAAATTAAAAAGATGAAATAATCTGACATGTGGAAAACTAATACATAACCCAACACTCAATTAGTAGTATATTAGTATAGTCTGTCCTTTCAGTGGTCCATAATGAATAAATGCAACTGAATAATTTTCCATAAAGAGAATATAGCTGCTTGTTATGTAGAACAGATAATAGGTTGCTTTGTTTGAATGTAGTATTTGAGAAAGCTATTTTTAATAATTAAACTTTCCTTGTAAAACTACATTTTTGTACTGTATTGATATTGTTAGGCTCATGAAATGTCCCAAAATTCATTCTAACTGGCAAATCATTTGTAAATAAGGAAACAACAAAGGATGGCTTCAAATGGAAACTTTTGTAAATTCCTTCAGGGTAGAGGAATTAAGAATATCGGTAATAATTATTTGATTCACACACCTGGGATATTCCTGGAATATAGTGTTTAATATAGAAGAACTCAATCCATTTTTATAGGCAGTTTCATATAGCTTCGACTTGAATATCTTAGATTTATTGTATTACTGAATAGATAGTATACATAGACAATGTTCAGTTACCAGATATTGTTGTCTGTTACCTTCACTTGTCTGTGATTGATTGAATTGATATCAGATGCTGGAACTTACTCTGACTCTAGGGAGTACAATCTACTGCCAAGTAATGGAACAAAACCTAATATGCATAAAATAAGTAACAGATTCTGTGTGTTAGCTGAAGGAAGCAACCACCTGTGTAATAAAGCAGCAAAAACTATTTCTCATGTTGCTGCATAGACTGAGCATTATCTCTAATCTCTAACGTAGCTAGTTGTTGGTTTGCCTTTTTAAAAACCAACATTGGAAATATTCCTTTATAAATTAAGTTTTATGGACTAGCTTAATGTTTTAAACAGTACTAAGAAACTAATTATTTTTCTCTGAAATAGAAGTGGTTGTAAAATGTTGTCATGGCCTGTATAATCCAAATTGGGATATTAAGACTAATTGTTCTGAGAAAACATGTCTTATTATTGTTTAGAGGGAGCAAATTCCCTCTAAACAACAGAGTATACTTATCAAACATCAGTAAATAATGTTCTTGACAGCTTATAAAATGTTAAATGATACATAAGATTCCATAGTTTATCTAACCAGAATTTTTATATATTTGTATAACAAGAATTTCTGTTCTCATAAAGATTCAGAATCAATCCTGCTTATTTAAAATTGGAAATTCAATGCTGATCTTTTTCATACTAGTTGCAACTTATTCCACAGTGTCCCTTGGAAATTTCTTTAATCTTGAGATCACTTTTTGTAAGATAATCCAGTTCAGCAATATGAAAAAACACATAGCAAAAATTAGTCACCTTCCTCTTGATCACAAGCCTGAGGTAACATGTCTAAAAGGAGATTCCTTTAATGAGTTGCTTCCAAAGTGCAATGGCATTCTTCATGTGAAACAAAAACAACATAAATAGGGGGAAATTCAGATTTAACAGGGCTAAACTGAATAAAGGGACTTGACGAGCTACATAAAAACTACTCTAAAAAAGGTAAGTCTTGTTAAGTATATTTTGTACATAACTGAAGTTGAACACTGTGAATTAAAATAGTCACAGATTTTATATTTCACTAGCTTCCTTGAATTTTCCTAGTTTGAGTCATTAAAAATGAGAACTGTTTGGTGTCAGAGTGGCTTATGCCTGTAGCCTCCTGGTAACCTGAAGGACAGTGTTTTGGTTAAAGCCAGTCTGGGCAGAAAAATGTACCAGACTATGTATCTCCAAAATAACCAGCAAAATTAGGGCTGGAGGCATGGCTCAAGTGATAGAGTGCCAACAGAGCAAGCCAGCCAAACCAATGTGAGGCATTGATATCAATCCTCAGTACCACCAAGAAAAGAAGAGGAAAGAAACAACTCTGTCTTAGGAAATGCTAGTATCAGTGGGACAACGGAGGAACACATGTTCTCCCCTGTATTGTGCAATCTGCTTTTGCTTTGCTTTTATCTGCTGGTAATCCTTTTGGTGTGTGCCTGTGGAAAACATGGTTTCTTATATTTCTAATAATAGTAAAACATCTGAATATACACATAAAGTATGGAACTTGACCATCTATTGCTTATACTGCTTCTTTGGGTTCCAATTTCTTTCAAGTTCTTTATAATATCAAGGCCTAAAATAAATACCTGAGTTGGTAATACTTCATGGTTTTAAGGACTACGTGAAAATATACATAGTTTACTAACATTAAACTAGTTATAGATGTTTAAGAGCTAATAGCTTATGGAAAAAAGAACAATATAAAAGCTCAGACTGGACCCAAGTTATTGCATTGGGCACTATATTACAAAATGCTAGTTCACTTTTATACAAAAAACTTGTTGGTAGTTCTAAGAATTGACTCAGGGCTTCATGTTTGCAAGGCAGGTGCTCTACCATGTGAGCCACACCATCAGACCTAAAAGAACTTTTTTAAATGAAAGATAAAATTTCCATCAAAGGTGGCAGTACTTATTTAGGGCTAATAGGGTTGCTGTTCAAGTGGTAGTTGCCCAAGTTCAATCTCCAGTATCACTGAAGATTAAAATAAGTAAAAAAAACTTTTTTTTTTTTTTTGGTCCGGTGGTGGTGGATGAACTCTGGGCCTGGGTGCTGTCCCTCAGCTCTTCAGCTCAAGGCTAGTGCTCTACCACTTGAGCCACAGCGCCACTTCTGGCTTGTTTTCTTTTTGCTTATGTGGTGCTGAGAAATCAAACCCAGGGCCTCAGGCATGCAAGGCAAGCGCTCTACCACTGAGCCACCTTCCTAGCCCAACAAAAACCTTTTTTGAGTACTTAGGTTTCCAATTAAGCTTTTACTATTATTAATAAATGTCATATAAAGAGTGTGTACTATGTCTGAAGCTCTGTCCTGTATATTCTATATATATATATATATATACACACACACACACACACTATATATAGTACATATATATAGCATGTAGTATATAGTATAGTATATACATATACTATATAGATATATAGTATATATACTATATATAGTATCTATAGTACATAGTATATATACTATATATAGTATCTATAGTACATAGTATATATACTATATATAGTATCTATATCTATATACTTGCAATATCAAGTAAATCCTCATAACTTTATTCCACACTTAATTCATGTGGCAGAACTAGGAAAGATTCTGGCTCATAGGCATCTTTGCTATGCTGCCTAATCACTAATACCTTTGAAGGTTGTTTTCTATTATTACTACCTTTAATACTTTTGATTCCCCATGAATAGCTGATATATTGGAAGATGGTAGTATCAGTATGGAACCCTGAAAATCATTCCTTGTAGGAAAATATGTGAAAAATCCAGAATGCCAGGAAGACCATCTGTGCTTATTCTTATGCCATATTTAATAAACCAAAACTCTGAATTAAAGTCTTTATTTCATATAAAATTAATATTTCCATAATTAGAACAAAGCAAGCAAATTCTGAAGTTCATTATTTCGTATGACTTATAAATCATCTCCATAAATATGTGTTGCTAATTCACTGAACAATTTGTCTACATGCTTGTGGGAAGCTTCTGCAGCCTTTTCTTGGTAGGAATACCGGTATTTCTGTATTCTTCCCTTTCCTTCAGATACTCCATTTTGCATTCTTCATAAAAGGCTGGATCATTATAGCTAAAGAAGGAAATGAAAATCTTTAAAGGTTAATCACCATTGTAAACAACATAAGCTTTAACACTAGTCAGACATCTAGTCCATCAGATTTAATCATCAGTATTAGATTGTAGACACTATCAAACTAGTATAAACAATAAAGGGCTATAGGCTTTTTAAGCCTTATTTGTAACAGATGCAAATTCTACCTATCTAATCAATGTCCATATACAAACACCACCATCCTGGGCTAGAACAGTGAGAAACACAGCACCTTTCCTTATGTATTAAGCAAGTAAAGATATTCTACATTGAAAGTATTCTTGGCATACTATGGGGCCCCATGCATCATGAAAACACAAGGGAGAAATAGGAGAAAAAGCTGAGATGTACTTTTCACTAACAGAAATTCACATAAAAGGAAAAACCTTCATGAAGAACTGTAGCACTATACAGAGGATGGTGCACAGAATAGGAAGGAGCTGAGGTGTCCATGTAATGAATACAGTGTGGAATGCATGCAGTATTCCATGTCATGCTGTACTAGGGTGGCAGCGTGATTAATAGCAAATTTAAGATCACTTTTTTTTGGGGGGGGTCCGGTCGTGGGGCCTGAACTCTGGGCCTGAGCGCTGTTCCTCAGCTCTTCAGCTCAAGGCTAGTGCTCTACCACTTGAGCCACAGCGCTACTTCCGGCTTTTTTCTTTTTGCTTATGTGGTGCTGAGGAATCGAACCCAGGGCCTCGAGCATGCAAGGCAAGCGCTCTACCACTGAGCCAACTTCCCAGCCCTTAAGATCACTTTTGTCTTAATACCATGTGGAGGTAGGCTAAAGGAGCAGCAAGATTAGAAACAGGATGTTCAATAAACTAATAAATAATCCATACAAGACATGATGCTTAGGACAAAGGAGGAGGTAACAGAAATGAAAGGGAAAAATACTTGTTGAAATTTAGGAAATCACCAATTATAGTTAGGAGATAGGACAGCAGATTTTGGACAACTATATGAGAGGAGCAAAAAGCTGCCAAGTTCAGTTTGGTACCAGAAAAAAGTATGAAAGTCTATGGAGAAGTAAATGGGAAACGGGAAAGCATCATCAGGGAAATCAGAAGTGGACTTTGAGCCCATTAGAGAAAGCCTTTAGAATCGGCAGTTTTCATTCAGAAATGAGATCACAGAACATGGAAGTAAAAGGTAGAAATAAAGGAGTACAAATTATTAACATGTCAAAATGTTACAATCAAGTGAAGAGGAAGTGTGGTAATGTTCAATTGTTGGAAAGTAAAACAAAGCAGAACATTTTCTTATTTGAAGATAAAATACAGATCTAATTAGTGCATTTCAAGAAAGAGCCAGCCTACTCTGCTTTAGGCACCAAGGTAAACGTGTTTACATACACAGTAGCTCCAATCACTCCAGAAAGAATTCTCTTTTTTCGTAAGAAACCTATCCAAGGTCGCAAGGCTAAAGCTGAGCTCTTCTGACCCAGAAGCAGAGCCAGGGCTGCCCTCTCTATCCCCTCTGCCCTTCCCTAGCTGCAGGAAGGGATACTAAATTGAACTAAGAGCATGTTATTTTCAAGACTGAATCTGATTTAAAAAAAAAAACTCAATATATAAACAAATTTTGGACACAAAAGTTTAAATTTCTCTGTAATGTTAACAGAAACAAACAGAAATCACCATTCTGAGTTTACCTGACCCAAATCCTGTAGCACTAATCAGTAAACAGTGTGAAAAGCCTTTTCAGTAGCTTTTTCCCTAAAAAAGCAAAATTGCCCCTAACCTCTACTTTCTCCATTGTCTTTCACTTTTTCTTTCTCTCTTTCCTTCCTCCCCCTTTTTCCTTCTGCCCTCCCCCCTTTTCTTTATCCTTTCCTTTCCCTTTCCCTTTCCTTTCTTTTCCTTTCCTTTCCGTGCTGGTACTGAGGCTTAACCTCAGGACCTCATACTCTTGCTTAGCTTTACTCTACCATTTGAGCCACACTCCCACTTCTGGCTTTTTGATGGTTATTGGAGATAGAGAGTCTCTCAGACTTGTCTGCCAGGCTGGCTTTGAACCACAGTTCTCAGATTTCAGCCTCCTGATTAGCTAGAAGGCATGAGCCACCAATCCCCAGCAATAGCTTTTGACCATTTCCATGTGAATATAGTTACCCAGATATTACTGGAGATTTTACAGCAACAGAAATAGTTCCTAATAAAAATACCCATTAAATAGAACACATCTTGAATTAAATTGATTGTGTGACTGGTTTTCCAGGCACTTTTTTTCAGTCCTGCGAAGTGGAAGGGAAAGACTTGTAGGTACAGATGTCATGTTGCTTGTTTGGGTCTATCTGCTCCTCGGTTATCTCAGAGTGATATGTGCCCTGCCTCAGAGAGAGACTGATGCACTTTCAAAGACAGGGTACAGAATACGCAGCACTTCTTGTGCAGGGATATATATACCACTGAAATGTGAGGGAGGAGTGGCTCAGTGGTTTATCTCAGTTATCCTACAAAGTTACAGCAGGATTGTGAGCCTGCTCCATACTATGAGGGGAAAAGAGGCAGTTCTAGCTCAAAAGACTAGAAGAAGAGATGTGAGGGGCTGTAGGGTTGGAGAAATATTCCCTTCTGGCAAACTGGACGCATTTATGATGGAGGCAATTCCTTAATTTCCATTTCCCCAGAAAATGCTGGGCTTGTGTACTAGTGAAAGCTGTACTGTATCAACATTTTCCATTCCCAGTCTAAGGCCTATCAAAATGACTAGGAAGGGAGGCAGCCATCACCATCTTGTATTACAGAGCGATATAGTAATGAGCTATAGAAAGGGTTGCCATGTTTGCTGAGTGGTTGTACACTACTTCTTGTACTGTGTTCCTTGTCTTGTTCATATCCCAGGTTTTTCTTCTCTAGCTTCATGGGCAGTCTGACCATTAAGTGTAATATGCTTTACCTCTGACTCACAGGCTCCCTAGATTTCAAGAAGCCAAAACATTTTTGCTGCCAGGTCCTTGTCCATTCCTCCTGTTCAAGTACAAACCAGGCCCAACTCTTCTTAGCATTCTTAGCAACTCTTCTTAGCCAGAGGGTTATGTCCATGGTCCTGTCCATTCATTATTATAAAACTGCCCAGAGGTTTGCTTAGTCTGCATCCTTTACAAGAAGGCAGAAAATAATTTACAAGTTTTCTAAAAAAAAATACTCTTAAGAAAAAGGGCTAGGTATCTTTCCTATAGAACTGAACTTTTGCTTTGAATTTGGCCTGATCACATACTACCATGAGTACCAGTTCCCTCTCCCTTCTCCTTTCTTGAATCTTAGCAAAAGTAGGGCATGTGCAGACAACTTTCTCAAGTGATGGTACAAAGGGGACAAGGCAAATAATCACTATGAGCAATCACTTCCTCTTAGGTTTTTGCCTATAATTGTGCTCTCATGAGGAGTCCGAGCAATGAGAAATCTATTTTACCTGATTACAGATGGTTTTAATATATGGATATGTGGATGTCAACATTCTCTTGGCCCATGGGCAATACTTTTATGTCATGCTATACTTCAGTGCCCTGGCTTACTTGGAGGATGTTTGATCTCTATAATCTGATATAAACCACCTAATGAAATAAACAGCTTACGGAATGTCAGGAACCAGATTCTACATTAAAGAAACAGTGCATATTCTTGGTAAAGTGGATAGAAAGAATGTGCAATTTTTTTAAAATACTGTCTAACCTAAATCACTAGTAGATTCCTCTGGAATTGCATTTGACAACAGAATCTCTAGATTACTTACTTAGGGATGGGCTGATATTCCGAGTTTCTTCTAAGATAAGAATAACCATGGACTATGTTTAGTAAATCCTACTGCAACTTATATTTTTTTTCAGTCTCTATCTTAGTTATACATAGGGCCTTCAGAATGTGTAAAAGCCAATACATGTCACTCTACTATCTGCTTCAATTGGTTGAGCTATCAGGATGCAGATAAGACAAGAACTAGGCACCAATGCTTTTCCAAAGCTCAGATGATGCCAGTCTGGGGACCTGGGGTGAAAAGAATACATAGTAGTACCTTCTGTGCTAAGTGTTTCTCACCAAATGTTTTAGATCTTAGAACTCAACTATTCTATTTGTACATGAAGAAAGGAATAATGCATTTACTGCTTATATGCCATTTTCACTTGATTCTTCAATTTATATATAATTTGGCATTATACAGCAAGGGCAGGATAGGCTACGTGGCATTAGCTATAATGCCAGCATTTAGATTACTGAGGCAAGAGGAGCTCAGGTTGAAAGCCAGTCTGGGCTACATAGAGTAAAATCCAATGTCCAAAAATAAATATACATAAATTTTAAAAAATAAAGCAGTGGTAGAGTTTAAATTCAACCTTGAGTCCACAGGTTTTTGAACTTCATAGAACCACAGGAAAGTCTACCCAAGTTCATAAGCTTCACCTGGAAGACTGAGTCAAGGAATGGTTGGACTCATGACATCAGCTAAGTTTTGCTATGAAACAATGGCTTCCTACATGGCCCAGGCTAGCCTGAAACTCACTATGTGACCCAAACTGAACTCAAACTCCTGCCCAAGTACTGGGAATTTCATGAGGTATTGATCCACATGTAGGAGTTGATTTTGTGACTTGTATGCCCAGCAGGCATCTTTTCTCTAAGACCTTCTTCACACCCTTTTGGTTTTTGTGTGACTCAGTCCTCTGGCTAAAGCAGCTTGATTTGGTACTTTTCATGTGACCCTACTTGAGACAATCAGATTGATCAGATATTGGGCAATAGCCTACTAAAAATCTTTAATACTCTGTCACTACTAGAAATATAATTTAACTGGGCAGTGGTGGTTCACACCTGTAATCCTAGTCTAGGATGCTGAGATCTGAGGATCACAGTTCTAAACCAGCACAGACAGGAAGTCTATGAGACTCTTACCTCCAATAAACTGCTCAGAAAAAGTCAGAAGTGGTGCTGTGGCTCAAGTGGTAGAACACTTATTTTAACAAATTTGATTTTAACTTCAAAAATCCATTTGTATATATATATATATATATATATATATATATAATGTTGGTATTGGGCCTGGGTGCTGGCTGTGAGCTCTTCAACTCAAAGCTCTTTACCACTTCAGCCACAGTGTCACTTCCAGTTTTCTGGTGGTTAACTGGAGATAAGAATCTCACAGACTTTCCTGCCCGGGCTGGCTTTGAACCACAATCTTCCGACCTCATCCTCTTGAGTAGCTAGGATTACAGTGTGAGCCACTAGCACCTGGCTTCAATTTGAATATATTACATAAGTATTTTACTACTTTCAAATTATTTGCTACACCTTTCCTAGGAGTTAAATACAACAAATCATAAGACTAGAAAAGTTCTTAAATTCTAATTCTGCCAGGCACAATTGGTTATGCCTATAATCAATCATGTTCCTCAGCTACAGAGGTTCAAAGCCATCCCAGGCAGGAAATCCTGGAGATTTGTTTCCAATGGCCACTGAAAAACCAGAAGGCAAGCTGCAATTCAAATGATAGAGTGCCAACCTTGAGCAGAAAAGCCAAGGGATAGCACCCATGCTCTGAGTGCAAGCCCCAGTATATTGGTACACGCACACACACACACTAAAAAAAATATTCTAAGCCAGATGCTTATAATCCTAGCTACTAGCCTATAATCCTAGCTATTCAGTAGGCTAAGATCTGAGGGTCATGGTTCAAAGCCAATGAGGGTAGGAAAGTCCATGAGACTTTTATCCCCAATTAGCCACCAGAAAACCCAAAATGGAGAGAGCACTAGCCTAAAGCAAAAGAGCTCAGGGACAATACCCAAGCCCAGAGTGCAAGCCCCATGATCCACCCACACACACACAAAAAGACATTCTAATTCAGTACCTTTAAATTACAATAAAATTAGTATATATTTTATAAATCAATCTCTTCATGAAGAGATTTTCATGTGAAAAGTCCTACTTTGTTGACTTTACATTTTTCATCAACGCTGATAAACATTACTTAAAAAATCACTTTTCTTTCTGAATGATCTTTAACACATATGAAAACATGAAGAACCTAGTTAAGGAAGTACAGGATATATTACATATACTGAATGAGCTAGTAACATACTCTTACTATACACAAACATGCACAATCATAAAGATTCAGTTAACTACTTACTAAGTAGTAAGACATTCTTTCAATGCAGAATTTTCTTTTCGGCATTTGACTACCATAAGAATTCCAGTGTCCTTGCAACATTTTGTAAAATCTGAAATTTAAAAAAAGTTGAAAGGGAAAGATAGCTTGTAATTTTATGAACTCAATGTTTAATAGCTCTAAAACATTCACTTAACATTCACTATCTAGACAGCTCTTCACACACAATGCATGTTCAACAAAAAGCATGCATATTAGTAAAAGCAGAATAAGAACACCATTAACTGTAGAAATAAAGAAGACTTGAAATGGTGGGAGGATAGGACTGCTGACATAAAAATAAGGAGGTTTCCTGAAGAAAGGCAATGCCAAGGCTGAGCAGCATTCTGGTAGATAGTTGGTATTCTAGGAGAAATAAGAACAATCAAAACTGTTTCTAGACATGAGTATCTAGTGTCCATCTGGGTGCATCCTCTCCATATGAGGCATATAGCCTCCACCACTTTTTGTTTTTTAGAGAACCATGCAATGGTTTTAGCTAAGGGAACATTTTTACTTTCTGGCAAGAGGATACATTTAGCTCCCAAGTCAAGTTTAGGTACACCCCACAAATTTCAAATGGTTTTCTGTTAACTTTCCATTCTAGTAGCTTACCTTTTAAACTACCCTGGCCCCTGTATCTGCCTTTTCAGGACCACAACAGAGAAAGATCTGCCTACAGTTTTGTCACCTAGCACTCTGCCTTGTGTTTGGGTTGGATTCAGCGCTACCTTAGCCATTCCATGGACAATGTGCTTCCTCTATACCTTTTGAGGCTATCCTCCCATCTATTCTGGACCCTCCTTTTGACCACTAGCTACTCTGGTTCCAGAGCTGCTCTCTCTATATATCAACTAGCTGGCCACTTGCATCTCAGACCTTAAAACATGGTATCAAATAGCCTTCCAAAGAAACATTAGGAAAAGCAATGTCTCCTCAATGTCTTTAGCTCCTTCCATAAAAAAAAAAAAAATCAAGATCCTTTTCTTATGTATTATCCTTCCATTTACTATGAAATTTAAGTTATTTATATAAGTAGCTTAAAATAAGAAGCAACTTCAGAAATCTCCATGAAGATGCAGATATGCCTATAAAACAAAGAATACAGAATACCTATGAAATATACCACAAATAATTTTACACCACATCAAGCAAAAATGAGGGTACGTCTCATTATTAAGCACCAAACCACAGATTCATTCCACAGGACCAAAAAACAAAAAGTTATGAAAACTCATTAGTGTGGCTTTCCCAAGTACAAGTGTCCTATTACACATATATTTGTAGCTTCTGCAGCATCATGGCTTCACCAAATAGAATCAGTAGGATAAGAACAAGGACGCAGATTGGTTCCCAGTAACTCTTGTTCACTAGTTGTGAGCACTCCCATCATTAATTTCTCTCCTTCCCAACTCAGTCCGTTAACCCTGAACCTCATCAGATACCTTCTTTGTTCCAGCTACCAATATTTCTGTGCTTTGTGCAGAAAAGTCAAGTTGACTTGACCTGGGCCAAGCAAAACTGAAGGAAATTCTGTGTCTTTTGAGTAAGGTCTCCCTACAACTTAAAACACAAAACAGACTTAGAGAGCCATCTCTAAACCCATTAATAATTAGTCGTACAAGTTAGTTTTGTACTTACAACATCATGTTAAGATATTAAAATTTCATGATCTCATATAAATAATTAGGACATGAGTAATCCTTGAAGATAATGTATATATAAAATTAATCCAGAATTGATTCAACTGGCTAAAGGGGTTTTTTGTTGTTGTTTTTTAACATATTTGCTGAGTTCAGTGGCAACCAGGTGTACTCCTTACTGCTATTACCACCTTATTACCCCTATACCAAACTATTTGACTAAAATATTGTTTAGAATATAGAAAAATGGCATTATAAATTTTGCCTAATGAAAATATGATAGCTGACTAATCTACAGTATTTTCTTGAAAATACAAATGCAATAAATAACTTATCAAAAGTATATTTTATGCATTTACTGAGTTGAGAAGTTCAACACAGAATGCTTTGGCACTACATTGCATTTAAGATTAATTTATTAAAACGTCCTTATATCAGAAAACTGATGGAAAACAGAAGTTATGTGTTCTGATCACACTAAAGGGCTGGTCTATATATATTTTCACTTGTCCAAGTCTCTTCAGAAGTAATCATGACTGTGACTGGCCTAAAGATTTTAATGTGGGACTTTCTTTCATTGTACATTAGCATGTATCTATATAATAGTAATATTGATAATATTACAAATGATTTCTATAATGATATTCTGAAACAGATCTTTAAATTGCTTCAATTTTTCAATTTTATTTTAACAAATGTATATATCTCTCGGGTATGCCTGTAATCCTAATTACTTAGAAGGCTGCAATCTGAAAAACCTAGTTATGTATCAGCCCAGGCAGAAAAGTCTCTAACACTTTTATCTTCAACTAACCAGCAAAAAACCAGAAGTGGAAATATGGGTTAAGTGGTAGAGTGCTAGTGTTGAGCACAAAAGCTCAGGGACAGTGCCCAAGCCCAAAGTTCAAGTCCCATGACTGGCACAATTTTTAAAAATATATATACCTGATTCTATCAATAAATTTAATCATTAAGGATTATGAAAGTAAAATGCCATCAATTAAATATATCAAAGTAATACAAATAAACATCAGTAAACAGTGCCCATGAAGAGATTGTTAAATTACAAACCTTGATAAACGTGTCCTCAAGACTATTCTTTAAAATATCAAGAATATGTAATTCCAACATTTTCATTGTGTATACCTCTCAAGGAAACTACTAACATATAACAAGCCACTGATAAAAATATCCTATCTGGTTCATGCCCAGAATGCTAGCTACTGAGGAGGCTGAGGTTTGAGGATCTCAGTTCAAAACTACTCTGGGCAGAAATGTCTAAAAAGCTATCTCCAATTAATAATCAATATGTTGGGCTAGAGGCATGGATCAAGTGCTACAGTACCAACCATGAGACAAAAAGCTCAGCCAGACCATGAGTTCATACCCCAGTACAGGAGGGGAGGGGAGAGGAGAGGAGGCAGGAGTTTGGGAAAGGGAAAGGGGAAGGGGAAGGGGAAAAAGGAAAAAGAGTAAAAGAAGGCAAGGCAAGACTGGGCACCAGTGGCTCACCCTATACTCCTAGCTATTCAAGAGATCTGAGGATCATATTCAAAGCTAGCCCCCCAAAAAGTCCTTGAGACTTTTGTCTCTAATCATTAAAAAGAAAAGGAAAAAAAAGATATAAAAGAAAAAAGGAAAGGGGGAAAGCAGCAAGCGGAACTGTGACTCAAGTAGTAGAGAAAAAGCTTAGGGACAGCTCCCAGGTCCTAAGTCCAGGGCCTGAAAAAAAAAAAAAAGAAAGAAAGAAAGGAAAAAGAAAAATTCTTCGGCTATACTAAAACTTGCATCAAAAACATATAGAAAAAAATCAACAAACTTCCATCTCAATTTGTAAACAAAATTCATCCTGTAATTAAGTACTAGCAATGTATATAATTTACAGCTTACCATGATATAAAAAACCTTTTTAAGATTCCACATAGGTAGCAGTAACACAAATAAGAAACTGTAATCATTTCTTTTTTTAATTCAATTTATGGAACTTTTATAACTCAATATTTAAGTAACTCCAAGTAATCATAAGAATCCTTACTCAGCCAATATATAATTCTGACTGAAACATTTTTCTCTGTACTTAATGAGTTCTGTACAATGTATTGTAAGTACAGTTATCCAGTTAAAACCCAGTCACTGAAAGAAGACAATCTTCAGAGATACCTAGCTAAAAGATATATTCCTATCATTTCATGTATATATCCATATGATTTTTAATGAATTTTTCACAACCACTTTTAGATAGGGCACTTTTTATATCTTTCTAGTAGTTTCATTTCCTTTAGCAATCAGAAAATGCCTATTTTTCCACATTGCAAATATATATATATATATATATATATATATATATATATGGATAGCAATTCACTTTAGAATTTTAACATCCAAGCCATACACAATATTTCCAAGAGTACCATCACCAACTTAGTGGGGTTTTGTCACTTAGTGGGTTTAAAACTGGGAACTTAAAATGATAAAGTCAAGCTAATTCATAACATATATCAATCTACAAATTAAAATCTTAAGCACAACTGCTATGTTGTATAAATGTGGGTAGAAATACACTTTAAACATAATGTATAAAATACCCACCGACCAGTTACAGAACTGTATGAAGTTTTAATAATATATAGACTAGATAAGACCTCTCAGTGTTGGGAGAAAAAATTATACATACTTGCAAGTATGTGCCTGTGTGTGTCTGTGTATAAAACAGAGTATAACTGTCTAGATGCTAACAATTTCCCTCAAAGATAGCTGAAAGTTTAAATTTGTAATGTAAAAATTAAAATCTAAAACTAAAGTTCCTCAAGTAACGCTATCTCTCATGTGAAGACTTCTGTAGCTAGCAGTTGAATGCCAAACCTCTGTGGACATGCCCAAGTGCAGTACCAACCTCAGTAATCATCAGCCTTCTGGAAGCTGTGAAGGAAAAAGTATCTGAACACAACAGGAAGTCACGCTCAGTTTTGAGCTCACCAGCTTCAAATGTAAGGATGGAGGGCTGAGCCAAATGAGACAGTATTTTGTTCAATTCTTTCTAATAATAGCTCAGCTGGAGAAAACCATTGCCTCAAAGCACATAATAAACAGCAAAAACAGGATTTCGTGAGTTATGAAAAACATTTTAAACAGACTGTGTCAATAATCCCAGTAGTCTAACTTTTGGAAAAGCCCAGTCCAACCTTTAGGCAAAGCCATCTATCATAAGTACCTTAGGATTGGATGGCAAGTTAATTAATTCACTTAAAGTTGAATAAAGCCTATCAATGAGTTTTTCAGCAAGCAGTCTAACCAAAAGACAAAAAGGTTGCATGGATAATTTTCCAAGTATCCATAAAACTAGTATTTCAAATGGAAAAAACATAATATATGGAAAAACATAATGTGTATGAATGTTGTTACTTCAATCTTGAAGAAAATATCCATTTGT